CGGCAAGGCCCCGCGGGGCGCATGGCGGCGCCGCTCTTGCAGCCGAACGCCTCAGAGAACGCGGCGAAGTTCTGCAGAGACCCCATCACCCTGGACAAGGAGAGGGAACGGACACGGAGACAGCGCGTGGGGACAACAGAAAGCCACGTCCCGAGAGTCATTTAGAGTCTCACGACGTAGTTACAGTCTCCGAATACGGACACTTTGTGCAAGGAAAACACCCAACAGGGCAAACGAGACGGGGAGGGGTGGGGTTCTGGTCCATTCCCTACGGATCGGTGGATGAACCAGGCGGGGAAGAGGAACGGACCCTTCAGCAGCGTCCCACGAGCCACGGGAGGAATTCTGCGGCGTGGCCTGCGCTGACCTGGTCTGTAGGGACGGAGCCGCTCTCCCCTGGGGCTGTGGGGCTGCCCTGGCTTGGAGCAAGTCACTTACCAGTTAGTGAGGCCGCCTGTAAAACCCACCTGTATTTCAGAGGGCTGTGGACATCTGTCTTTATTGACTGGCTGGCGTACTCCGGCCTGTAGGAACCACACCAAACCTAGACAAGGATTAATAATTAGTGGGTCCCTATTAAAGGGAATTCAACTTGGAGACCTTCTCATTTTCCAAGTTTTTCCTAAGAGCCATCCCAATTTGTTACAGTATAGTTGGGAGTATGTTTTATGGAGAATAGTTCTAAATATTTACTAACTGGTTTTTGTTAAATCAAGTTCTTGGATCAAGATCTGATGCTTTGGGATAGATCTATTGATTTTACCCACGTGTTTCCTCAAAGAGGTGAGCTCAAGTCTGAGAGTCGGAGGCACAACACTCAGTGTGTTGGCCTGCTGGCAAGGATTTGACCTACTGTTAAATGTTGGTTTCTCTAAGAGCTTCTCATCCAGGCTGAAGGTCAAATTCAACTCAGCAAACTGTTTCTGCATTGCAGTGAAGTGGTATAGAGGAAAATAAGTGGAATCTGTAGCAACATCTGTGATCTAAGTATGTATTCTGTGACCTGAATACTTATTCCTACTTCAGGGCTGCTGGCTTGGCATGTCTCAGGCATTCAGTTTTCTCCAGTTAAAAACCAGGTGAAACCCTGTCTGTATCAAAACCAGGAGGAGTTTTCTCAGAAGTGGGACCAGTATTTACATGAAACGACAAGCTCTGGAAAGCTGCTGTCCCCCTGAAGCTGTCTGACAAGCCTTTTCCTTGGTAGATGCCCTGTTGCTCCTCGCTCCAGCAGGTTTCAGTAGTGCCCTCAAGAGCGTTACTGAAAGCTCTTTAACCACTAAACCATCTTTTTCACACCTGTCTTGCCCTTTTGTTGCGTGCAGTCAGCGGTGCATCACTGTCCAGGTGGAGCTTGGGGCTGATTTTTCTCTGACCTTTCAGACAACCCGATTTGTACCTTGACGCAGCCGGCGGTGGCTGCACCCCGTGTTCTTACCTGGGCAAAGTTGAGGAAGAAAAGCTGTTTGTGGGACAGGTTCAGTCCAGGCAGCTTTGGCTCCTTCCCTTCCCGCTCCAGCCATTTTAAGTAGGCCTAGAAATGATCACGGTTCAATTCAGAGAACTGGCCTATGTGGGTGTGCTGGGTATTCTGAATGTTAGTCTGGGGTGAGAGATTGCAGACACAATGTATATGAACCCAACACGTCTTTCCCTCTGCACTTTTGTGTGTTTTATCTTTCTAATACAAATAGTACAGTGGATTTTATGAAAAAGCTGTCATCGTAAGTGCTCTGTTGACTCTTCTAGCAAAAAAATTAAACACAAGGATAATCTGCACTCAGCATCTTCAGTACAGTGATCTCTGAACTGGCAACTCACAAATGAAACAGGAAAAAATGCCAAACTCTTCATTTTTAGAGCAGCAGTTAGCGTTGGCCGGTTGACCTTCACTGCACGAGCTCCGTGTGCTCTGTACGAGCCCCCGGGGCTCTGCTGGGGTTTTCCTCAGCTCTGGCACTTCCTCACACACTGCTCTGCTGGGGGCTGGCCCCGCTGGACCCTTCAGTTGCCACTGAGTCTTGGCCAGCAAGCGTGGCCAAGCTGACGGCCAGCGCCCAGGGTACACACAGCTGGTGACACAGAAAACCAGCAACGCCACGGAGACCGAGTGCCCGTGGGTGCAGTTTGAAATAAATCATCAGCTTTCACTGACTTCTTCCACAGGGATTTGTATCTGGAAGTAAAGTGTTAAGTCTTCTCCACAGTTCTGTGGTGATGATTTTTCTCTCTTCAGGCAACTGCTCATAAAGTAGCAGATAATAACCTTGCTCAATGTTAAATCCATTACCTGTTATTGTTACACATTAATTGGGCAATTTTCTTTTTTTAGGTATATTGACATAACGGAGACAAGTTAATGTGTCCTCATGCTGGTTAATTTGAAATGTTCTATTACCTGATCCTCTTCATTGCTGAGATAGTCCCAAAGCACAGAAAACACAAAAGGTAGAGCCGAGGGTAAGAACACATTCAGCACCGCAGAACATCAGAGGGTTCTGTGTGCAGGCAGCTTATGTCACACCGCACCGCTCTTCCACGTTGGTAATAGTTTCAGAACCAAGTACCTACTCACTTTAACGAAGTAACTAATTTAATGGTGTAGCTCAGAGTCAGAATTGTCAGTTTAGATTTTTGAAAATTCCGGATGTTCCGTCTATAAACGCCCTCGGCTGTGGCCATGTTCAGAACACCAGAGATAAAAGGTTTTACCATCACATCTGTTGGGATTATTCATAGAAAAGAACATTCCACGCTCACACCTGAGCTCCGCCTGGAAAGAGCCTTTGTGCTGGTAACTACCGTGTCCCTGTCGTGAGGATGGTTTGTAAACCTGGCGGATAAAAGGCACTGGACTTCCCCGAGTCTGGAAGCCGAGTTCCCTGGCAGAGCAGGAGAGATAAGGTGACATGCAGCAGAGTTTGTAACAGATAAAACCATCCTGAACAAACCCATGTCTCGGCCACAGCGTGGAGGTCGTGCTCTGGAGTATCAGTTGCATTTCTCTCATTTTAAAAATAACAAGAGTGGTTGAAGCAACCTCAGAAAGAGGGAGGCAGTTCTGAGTCAGTCCTTGTGTTTTTATTCTGCTTTCTAGCTGCATGGAAAATAAATAGCAAGATAGAAGGGACTTGTTTGTGTTCTTTCCCTAAAGCTTATAAAACATCGAGAAAGCAACAAAAGGAGCTAGGCTTTAGAGACGGGTATTTTGGTAGATAATGATCTGGATCCCTTGGGAAAGAGAAGGTATTTCCATCCGTTCTTTTCGTGTCCTACCTGACGTGCCACTTCTGTGATCAAAGATGAAAACCATGAGAGAAATAAACTTGGATAAAACAGTTGCTCTGCTTCATAATATCACCAAACTGTGTTGCCAAGAAATTAGTGCTCCGTTGCCATGTGACAAGCTGTTTGAAGTTGTAGCTGCCTTTTTCAGAATAAAGGGCTTCGGAAGATGGGGGGTGGTTTGCCTTTTTCCCAGCTAATACTGTGCCTGTTTGTGAGCGTTTACCCAAGACAGAAGCACTGCAGGGCACCACAGTACAGCTGGGAGAACGGCGGCAATCCTGCACGGGGGCTGCACCTATGGGGACATAAACTTCTAGATAGAGAATTGAGGCTTGAAGTTTGTGAATATGGTAATAACATGGTAATTGTCAAATCTGTGATGACAGAATAGGTAACACCGCTGCTGAATCCCAGGGGTAACGTTAACTCACAGTATATTTCACAGTTACCTTATAAGCCTGTCGGACTCCTCCGTTATCTGCAATATTTTCTCCTAATGTGCTTATTCCACTGACCTGTAAAAGAATTATCATTCATTTACTCTAGAGTCAGTGATGCTGGCAGCCCTAAGACCCACCAGCTGAAGCAGAGTCACTCATCAGGGGCAGACAGGCGTGTCTGGAACAGAAGGAAGCGGTGACTTTGTGCTGGGGCAAATGGGAGAGAATGAAAATTAAAAATTAACAGGGTAAAAGCTGTGGATCGGAACAGAGAGAATATATACAAATGTAACAGGAACAGAGTATGGGCTGCTGGGCAGAACACGTGCTAGCAGGGCTGGCAAAATACAGTAGGAAACACCAGGATTTCCTCCCCCCCGGCTCCTGCCTTTGCAAAAAGCCCCTCAGCGGGTCTGGCAGCACGAGCACACATGAAAAAAAAAAAAAAATCGTTTTTTTTTGTATAAAACCCCCGTGGTGTGAAACAGTTGTTTCTACGTACGTTCTGCCCGCCAGCGAGCTCCCATGTGTAGTTCCCGTACTGGTAAACCATGCAACGAGACTGCTCCTTGAAATGCAGAGCTGAGAAATTGCTCCACCAGTCCAACATATTCCCATCTTTATCGAAGTTCCTACCTGTATGAAAAGCCGAGAAAAAAAAAAAAAAAAGAGTTGAGCGAGGAACCGTTCTGCCGGTGCAGCAGCTGTCTCCGTGTTAGAGGGGCACTTCCCCTCCTCTGGGCTCCAGAGATTTATCAGAAATGGTTTGGGCACGGTTGGTTCTGCCTTGGCACAAGGGAATGGACAAGATCAACTGCGGTCCCTTCAGCTCCATTCTCTTATTCCATCATCTCCCATTCAGCCAGCAGCCCCGACTTCAGTTACAGCACTAAATTCAGACTGGATGATGCAGACGTCGCGTAACTAAACTTCCCACCACTTCCGAGGTGTCCAAGGGGCTTATTCTGTGTGTCCCTGTAACGACCTGAGGCTCAGGAGAATCAATCTGCGCGGCAGGAGGCAGCTGGAACGGCAGTTCTGGTGTTTGTGTCCTCAGCTCGCTGGCTTTTCCTTCACTACAGATCCGGATTTCTGATAGCGATAGCGTGTGCTTATGTGTAACCTGCACAAGTTTAATGAACATTAAAAAAAACCCACACTGAAGAAAACCCATGGATAAGAAATTACTGGCTTGTGGTATCAGAAGGGAGTTTTTGCCCAGAACTATTTTACATAGCTTCTAGAAAGAGAAAAGTCAATTTATTTCAAACGTTTGTGCTGAAAAAAAAAAAAAAAGCCTCCTGTGATTTCACTACCAACAGCTCTTCTACCCCAGGAATGCAGTTCAGAGATTTCATTTTACTTTAGGAGGCAGCATCTCTGCTTGCGTTGTTGAGGCTTTTCCCAAGAATTGTCACTGAATTCATTTTTAACGCCTGCTTCTTGTGTGACCTGCTTCGGTCCTGACACAGCCACCGCAACCTGTTCAGTGGAAGGTTCACAGCCTCCTGCGTTGCTCCCAGGGTGGGAATGTGACGTGGATGCTTCAGTCGCAGCAGGGTGTAACCTGAATTTCTTACAGTGTTAATGAGTGCAACTGAAAGAGGAATATTTTCTGTTAACTTCTCACCGTTGTCGTCAAACCCGTGAGTAATCTCATGGCCAATAACCATCCCGATCCCTCCGAAGTTCAGGGCCTGTGGCTGGTGTTTGCTGAAGAAGGGAGGCTGTAGAATCCCAGCAGGAAAAACTGCAAAGAGGGGAAGAGGGAGGGAGATCCTGTAAGGCAGATTTATTTTTTGCATACTTTGCAGACTGATTGTTTGCTTGGTTTGAGGATCAGGAAGGAACATCAAATATAAAATGATTAGAAACAACATCATGCCTCCTCATGTGAAATTGTTTCTCTCTTGATAAATGGGAAATGACAAGTTAATGAAGGTTTAATTTAGCACATCTGCAACCACAGTATCCCCTTGTCTGAGAAGCAAGCATCATTTAGATGGCAACTTTAGCCTAATTTGGTCCATAATGGACGCTGCAGCAAGTCAAGAACAAAATGTTTAGTAACTGTCTTTTGGAGATAGAGTTTGTGTTTTAGAGCCATTTTATAGGGGAACTGAGGGATGTTTTATTGTGTTATTTTTGTTAAAGAAGGGTTGGCCAGTCATACGCTGCTTACCACCACCACTGGGTGTGTAAAAGACGCGCAGCAGTACCTCCTGCTGCCCACCCAGTGCACCTGGATGCCAGCCTGGGGCGGGGGCAGGAGGAGGTCTCCCCTTCAGTCTACTGGCAAAAACCTTACACAGAATCGATGGGATTTAGTCTTCATCCCATCTACACGAGATGAAAAGCAGACACACTTCTAGAGGAGTTAAGACTGTAAGCAATTCATCCTCAGGAGATACTTTTAAAGAAGTGAGATATTGGAATTATATAGCAAGTATTTCATTTAGAGACAAAAGCTTTTGACTATACAGAAGGTTTTATCTGTCCAATTTTGGGGAGAAATACATGACAGACTGCGGTAAGACAGAAGCAGGAAACTGAAAGTAATGGGGTTTTCCCCATTATAGATATATTTTCCCCAAAATCAAGGCTGGAAGAAACAAGATTTTAACTGTCCTCCACACTACTGCGGGTAGCTGTGCTTGGATGTCTGACTTGCACATTCACCTTCAAGTTGCTTCAACCAGTCACTTCCATATTACTTACAACCTGTAGAGGAACCGGTCCTAAGACCCGAGCTCCCTGCCCAGAGAGCTGCCTCACAACTGAGCACCATCAGCATCACCCCCCCGTGAAAACGGGGAGCCTGAGCCTCAGCCCGGCCGCCAGGGAGCTCCGGGGGCGCGTGCTGGCCGTGGCTGAAGGACTGCTCCCAGCTTTACCTGCTCTGTGAAGGTAGGTGGGAGCTGTGTGAATCGATGAGGCCAGAGAGCTGAATTACGAGCACTTTGGATCTTTCTGCTTTTTGCCATTATCTAAGTTTTTTCCCTTGTGACTGTTGGTTATTTTTCCATTTCTGGTCTTTGTCCTGTGAGCAGGATAGAGTTGTCTCTGGCCTGAAAAAGGCACGGATTTTTCCTCTGATGGTTATTTGGCAGTACTTGGCTAGTAGATCTTCCTGGTAGTCTGGGAAATTTGAGTAAGCACTACTTGGTTCCTGTCCTGTTCGGGGTGCTCAGAGTTCAGCAAAGGCTCTACGGATATCTGCAGGCTTAACCTCAACTTCTGGCCACCTGCACCGGCTCAGAGATCAGGGAGCCAGGCAGGTTCACTGTGTCTTAAGTCTCAAGATCATCTTCTCTGCTAAGAACAAGAAAGGTCAGCCTAGCAACGCTGCAAAAACTCGCAGATCTGGTGTTCTCTAAGCAGAGCAGGTTTCTTTAGTCTGGTACGCCTCTTACGGATACAATTCCAGTACTGTCTGTACAGATACAAACTGGAGAGCTGCCCCTGTGTTTATGAGAAGATGGAAACACGAGTACAGGCAGCCCAGAACACCCTGTGAGTGCTCTGCTCCCCGGAGCTGGCGCCTGTGTAGCAGCAGGGCCTGTCTCAGGCCTTCCAACACAGGGCTGTTCCAATTACAGCAGGTAAAGCTGGGGAGCCATCAGCAGAGCCACTGCTTGAAACCAACAGCCCACCTCGCCCAGAACGGCCACAGGGGCACAGGCGGGTTCGCCTCTGGATAGTAAATTTGCATCTTTGTAGTGCAAAAATTGGTTAATTAGTTCCATGCAGCTGTTTTAAAACTGTTGTGACCTACCTATCTGGTTCCGATTGGGGGAATAGAACGCGTTGACCACTGCGGCTCCAATTATCCATCTAAAAATAAACGCCGCACACAAAGTTAGTCATGATTTCTTTTTTCTAGCCATTCTTTTTATTGAATTATTATTGTTAAAAAATGCGGGCTGCATATAAGGAAAGGATCGGGGTAGGGAAGAAGGGTGCCACTGAACACAGCTGTAAAGAAATAGTAATGCCAAGAAATGACTTAAGGGCCCCTTTCATCCAAACCAGTGCCAAGGTAAAGTGAGAAATGCTTTTGCTCTTGAATGCTGAACAGCCCCATTGGGGTGGAATGTGGTAACTGTTTATCAGCTCATCTCCACACTGTATGAGCTTGAGAAGAAAGGAATAGTTTACACTGAGAAGAAAACTGGCATTTCGAGGATGTTCTGAGCAGCAGAAGGCAGTTACTCAAATTGGAAGACCAAACTTGTCCGTTGAAAAATTACTCATCTGGCTGTGATTATTCAGTTTTAAATGTCTGCACAGAGATCAATATTCCATAGATAATGTGTGTTAACTCTGAGAGGTAATTTTTAAGTAGGCTACTTTTGGAAACTCTCTCCCATACCTTGATAACTTTTTATTCTTTGTATTTTTTTTTCTCCTCCCCTTCTCTTCTACCTCTAACATACACTTCTGGTCAGCCTGCCCTAATAAATCACACAACAACAGTCTGAAGCCATGAACTCGCGGTAAGTATCCAGCAGCATCAACCTAAACTCCCGCTCTTCCCACATCTCTTGTCCTTACAGTATTTTGCGATGCCCCAGGTGCTCTATCTGCTGCTGTTTTGACGTAACTATTTGTGGGCTGCTGTGGAATGGAATTAAAACTTCCTGCTTAAGAAATACAACACGTGTTTGTATCTTTCAGCTTTGGAAAAGTTGCTTATTGTGGCCTAACAGAATGGGGAGGACCCTTATCACAGCCGGGGCACAGGGTAACTTCTGGTGGAAGTGAGTTGTGCTGCTGTTGCCAGTAACACGTGCACAGAGAGGGAGCAGGACCCTGTCCCTGAATTCCAGAGGGTACTTTTTCAAAAGTTTTGCTCTGAAGGCCGGTCAGTAACTTTCAGGATCTCAGACATAAGCATTCTTGGCTATCCACAGCGTACGACTTAAACACAATAACCGTTATTTCAGAACTGAGATTGTGGCTGTGGGATGCAGCCCGGTCACTTACATATCTTGGTCAACTCTCTCGCGAAGTTTTTTCAAGCTCTTTTGGGCTCCAGCTCTCAGGTTTTCCAGAATGTTTTCAAAGTAATTGTGTTCACTGAAGTTTAGCTAAAGAAACAGATATCCAAGTATATTAGTAAGCTGTGCAAAAAGAGGAACTCCTCCTACCCATGCTTCTATCTTCTAAAAAGTGTTCTGATTGCAATGGTTGGCTCTCTGCACGAGTTCACTCATGTTCAACACAATCCATTTTGCACGCTCTCCCGTCACTAGGACATGACAGCTGCACAGGTTTAAATATTCCAAGTGGTAAGAAAGTAAGCACAGGCTTTGCTGTCGAGGTACTTGTTGCAGTATGTGCAGCATACTTACATTGGCATATTCCTGATCTAGTTTTTCATTCTGATCTTCCAAAATATAATCTGGATAGCCAATTTGTTCTTTAATCGCCATTGCCTAGAAGAAAACAGTTTAATGTTTCCTTTTAATTGTGGTTTTCACTGGTGTGTGTGTGTTTTTTTTTTTTTAAGTTTCAATACATATAATAGTTAAAATTCTTCGTTGCTCATGTCCACCTGTTTGTTTGTATCCAGTTTCTCACATTTAAAGACCTTGTTCAGATGCACCCTATTGCCTAGTGGGACTTTTTTAAAAATATGGAACGTAAGTCTTCCTCTCATCTCTTGGTGTCCAGCCACTGTGGTAGACTTGCAGAGCATACAGCACCATCCAAGAGGGATTTGGCTTAACCCCTTTTTCCTTTTTTTTTTTTTTTTCCTTCCTTTTGGAACAGTGCTGATGGTCCTAAAGTCTATGAAGAGTTTGATAATTTTTTTTCTGGGGGACTGCACTGTATTCAGGTGTCATTCTAGTTGATGCATTTGATGCCACCTTCTCTCCTCATTTATAACATGGTTCACAAGACTCAATAAGGGAAATAAAAACTTTTGTGAGCTAACAAAGGATTAAAAAGAAATATAATAGGATTAAAAAGACAATATAATAAGATAATGGATAACAGGGCATCGAACATCAAAGTTTTTTCCTCTCATTTGCAGAGTGATGCTACAAAATTCCAGAGATTTCATAGCCATGATAGAACACTCAAGCTCCTTGTTATCTCTGACCTTCTCACGAGCTTTTTCTTTAGAGGCCTCGTCCATCCACTGTAACTCATCTAAAGTCTCGATGAACGCTTCACGAATCTTATCTATTAAATCTCGGACCTAAAGGAGAGGCAGGAAGAGAGGAATCATTTCCATGCTGTTTTTCCCAGGCACAGAGAAGGAGGGGTGAAAAGCTCCCTACTGAAAGATGACGCCCCCAAACCCTCTGCTCTAACACGTGGTACTCGGCGTTTAAAAGAGCATCATCAATGAGTTCTGATGCCAACTCCTGGCTGACTGACAGCTTTAACAGAGAGAACAGGTTGGGAGATGAGACGGAGGGGAACGGGCACTGCAGACACTGTGGATGTACAATAGTATGAAGGGTAAACTACATACCATCCTCTTGCTCTCACCAGCAAATGCCTCCCTGACGTACATTGCCCCCACCGCGTTCTCCAGGTTGTTGTTGACGTAACTCACACACTCCCTCCAGCGGGCTTCCTCCAGTGTTGTCCCGTAAAGTGCCTGCAACACAGAGCACCACAGGATGGTTCTGCCTACCCATCTCTCTCCTAAATCCTTCCCTGAAGAGGAGCTTAAACCAAGACAAAGGTTTCCATAGTTGCGACTGCTGCTCTTAGATTTGGTTGGGGGTTCAGGACCTAATGCTGTCCTCTGCTGACAAGGACTTCATTTGGTGACTCAGGACTCTCTCCCAGTCCTACGCGCTGTGGTCTCTGGAGGGGGAGAGGAAATACCTTCCTGTAGCTGGCCCGGGCATCCTTGAAACGCCGACTCAAGCTGCTGACACGATCGATCACCAACCGCCAAATGAGGTAGTTCTGGATGGTGCTGCACGGGAAACCAAAACTGAGTTTAATCCCCTGTAAAAAGCAACACTAGTGCAGACAGTTGGGGGAAATCTTAATTTTGAACGGAGATTAGAAAGGAAATGCTTGCTGCCAGCCATCAGTTTCATTGCATCTACAGCTGACCGGTCTTGTTTAACAGCAGAGGCATCCAGACTCAGGACTGTACTATTATGTCTGTTCAGGGATTAATTTATTTTTTTTCTCCTTCTGGAGTGTAACAAGAGCTAAGCCTGTGCTTTTTTCTTTTTTTCCTTCCCATTTGACCTTTTCTAATCATGCGAGCAGATGAGATGCCCAGTACCACAGTACTTTGGGGCCCTAGTATCTCCGAAGCCATTTCCCATACTTTACAGGGAGGCGGTGTCATCTTTCTCGAGCAGCTCTGGCAAGTTGGCCCAACAATTTACATTTCCACAGTACTTCCATGATTATTCTCGTTTCCTTACCTTGCTGAGTACTTTGAGAGAATTGCTTTCAGCTCTTGCAGATAGGGCATGCCATACACAACCACCTCTTCCTCTGCGTCAACCTGAACACCTACTGAAGACATGACACCTTGGATGAAGAAGGTCCAGTTAAATTCCTAGGCAGACAGAAAGACACAGACCAATGCCAGGTGTTTAAATGTCTTAGTAACTGTCTGGACTTCCTGCAGTCTATGGGATTGTATGTAGCATTGTTCAGTAGAAAAATGTTTTTTAAGAGACTCTGAAGGCAAAATTAAGAAGGTGAATGACTCTATACCTCTTTGTTGCATCACTGATAAATTCACAAAGCCATTTCCAAATGGTAGCAAGAGGAGGCTGAAATTATTAAGACAACTCATTAAACACTTACGTTCAATGCAAACTTTTCCTGTAGCTCTTTTAAGGTCATTTTGTTGTACAACAAGGTTACATCATGCCTTTCTTCTGCTGGGGTAGTTGCCTGAAGACATTCACAAGGTTATTACTAGAATCAACTCATCAAGTGTCAATGGCTGAAATCTCATGCATGCATGTGCACATATCCACACTCCAATCATATGTGAATAAAACAGTTTATTTTGGATAAGAAAGCTCATGTGATGGTGTCCAGTGCTGCTTTTTAACCTGCAGTACAGGACCTCAGGTCCCCCCGTTCAACGATGTTTCAGTAATGTGTTGAGCCAAGCAGTTCCCTCTATCCTTCAGAATGGAAGGCTAAGCTCTGAGGAGATATTTAGGGTGCTGTAGGCTTCTAAGGATGCAGGGGGGCTAGCCCTGGTGTTATCAGAGTGTATGTTTGGCAGAACATTGTCCCAATTCAGGAGACTCCAAAGGACTACTGCAGACACAGCCCCAGCGTATCTGTACAGTAGATATGAGTACACACACACAGAGGCTGGGGTTTCTGGCCTGCTCACAGCACAACAAATCTTTTCCCCCCACTTTCTTCCAGACCACGGGTGTCCCCGCTGTGTTAAACCGCTGCACAAACCAGCAAGAGACTTCCCCCTCACCCCCTGTCCTGCCCAACATCCCGAGTTCTTGATTGCTGTACTCACGTTTGCAATCTCTGTTTCAAGCTCCATAACCTTGGTCATTTCCTCTTGCACAAAGGAATCATCCTTAGGCACCTTCTTGTCCTCCCGGATCATTCTGGCAATGGTGATCATGAACTGCAGGTAAGCTTCTCTCACCTGCACACAAGGAACAACGTGGGAGGAAAAGGTTTGCCGTCTATCACTGCTCGTTCAGCAAACCATTCTTGGTATTTTAGCCTTACAGTGCGCTGTGAAAAATCTGGGCCCAAGGGTCACAGCCTCCACCCTTGACTCCAATGCAACCCCCTCCACTTCCACTTTCTCGTGGTGTTTGTTGGTCTTTTTGTTGTTGTTGGTTTGTTGTTTGGTTTTTTTTTCCCCCCCCTGTACTATAACAGGTACTACTGCCATACGTAGGAGCTCAGTTCATCCTGGAGCAGCTTACAGTGCAGCTGCCAGTCTCCAAATACAAAGTGTGAAAGCAACACTTTCTGCTTCCCTGTGCAGTTCAACTCTCCGGCCTTCCGAGTCAGAATTGCTACTCGAGCAAAGAGAAAGCTCTGTGCTTGGAGCCGCCCTGTGGGAACAGGGATGCCTACTAGCCAAAACACCGGGGTAAACACGGATGGTTTAAGTTCTCTGAAAGTAATACCGTTAAGTCTTCTAAACTCTGGTTTTATGGCTGAAAGAAAAGCTCTGTCTCGCATGGTTCCCAGGGATACCTTTGCTTTATTTCTCACAGGAGGCTATGGCTGTGGTTTATGCCTCAGAATGGGCCTTGAAAAGATACTTGGGTGCTGAGGGAGTACCGCTCTCTGATACAGGAAAGCTTACCACCACCTATTCCTCTTGCATCCTTTCCTTCCTCTGTAGGCCTTGGAAACCAGATAAATACAGTAACTGCTGTGAAATTGAGTCTGGGCACTTACATGATGATGATGATTTGCGTTTTTAGGCTGAATGCTGAGGCCTTAATCAGGCCAGACTCCCACAGGCCTCAGTAGGAGCTTTGCCAAAAGATGCTGGACTAAGCACGGGGGAAGTTTGGGTCATCAGAGTTTGGTTCATTGTCTGGGGGAAGCGAGCTGTTAAATAGCAAATGAAGAGGGGTTGTGTTTCCTCCTTATTCATGAAGATTAGAAACGCAGCCTTAGCCCTTCTTCTTCATAGTTTCAGCTTAAAACTGTATTCAGCACAACTGCTTTTCTTTTGCTAATTTAGGATCATCTATGTACTGTACCTGATTCTCTACCTCCTACAAGTCAATTTAAGTCTGACTTTCACGCAGTGATGCATAAACATTCCTTTTCTCTCCTCTAACTGCCACCGTATCGGTGAAATGTGCGGAACAGAATCCTAGTTCCAGCAGCTATCTGCAGTTCCCAACACAACTACGTGGAAATTGTTTTGTATCATGAGATTGACAGAAGCTGGCAGTTTATAAAGGCGTCCAGAAGGTGTGGAAACAATATAATAAAAACTTCACAGGACTGTGTTTTAGACGATATGATATATGCGGATATAGCCGCATGCACTGAAGTAAGAAGAAAACTAGTCTCTGTGTTTTCATCTGCCTTCAGAACCACCAGACAAAAGCCTCTAAAATGCTGATTGTTGTCTCTATTCCATTTGTGATAGGAAATCGGTTGGATGTTGGGCTGCAAATACTCTTTATTAGTATGACACAATTGAGGAAAATAAAACGTACCAAAGCAGTATTTTCATCTTGGAAACCGATAAATTATCTGGCTATGTTTGCAACAGCTTTCTACATATTTACAGAAACCCTCACATTTTTGCTCTAAGCATTGGCAGAGAAAAATCAGCTGGAAAATAATCTCTCACAATTTTCATGTAATTCTGGGGGGAAGGGGGAGTAAGTGGCATCAGATTCTTCCTAGCTGAGTATCTGTTCCAGTAATATGGCTATTTGCCATTTTAAACTTTTTTCCTCTGAACGAACACGTGAAAAATTCTGAATGTTTTAGCGTTGACCAAAATGTATTTCAGGGTATTGTCATACTGGATCATATTTGATCATCCAGTTCTTCTGCCATATCTGTAATCCAGCTTTCCAATACCCTGTAAAACAGTGGCCAGGACTAACGGATGTACTAGATGTAAGTGAATCCAAGATAGCCTACGCTGAAAATGTGAACCTATCTCTCAAAATCAGAGACTGTTCTAAGCTAGAAAACGTGATGATTTTATTTTCCCATAATCTTCTCATTTGTATGAACTGGCCAATTCTGGGAAGGCTTCATATTTATACAGCTGTTCAGCCCTTTTGTAGACTTTACAAAATTTTGACATAATTAGGCAAAAATGTAGCAATGAACGTCACGGTCTAATTCTGATTGTTACAAAACATGAAGGTTCATAATTTGACTTTTCCAAAACTTATCCAGGGATAAGTAATAAAGTTGTTTTAGTAGCTCATAGTAAATGAATGACAAGGAATACTTACTCTTTGATAGTTGCCCCCATTAAAGTAGTATTCCCTGGATGGCATTCCTAAACTTGGCTGGTCAATCTGAAGGAAATCACACATTTCTTTAGTTAGTGATGAACAGGAACTGCTGGTGTCCAAAGGTATCCTTGAAAGGCAGCATGAAATGCTGCACCTGCCATCCTTTCAGTGTTGGAATGGCAAGAGTACGCTCTTACCAATCAAAGGACTTTAGCTTTCTAGGCATGGTGTGAGGTGGAAGGTACAATTTTTGTCTCTGGATTTTTAGATAAGGATGGATACTTAGTGTGGGTTATTAAGCAAAATCATTCAGGTAACCGTTGAGATCTAAGAATAAATTTAAGCAACTTCGAAAAGAATTTGCTTGACTTGAGGGCTAGACTTCATACGTAAGCATACAGGAACAAACTCTGAAATACAGATCTTAAACCTCACCAGCACTTTGCAACCCTTAAATTCTGTAAATCAGTAAAGGTCCACTGAATTTATTTTTTAAACTGAAACAAAAATTATGCTGCCATGAAATGTTTTCCTATATGACTTTGAAATCTGCCACTTGGGGTACAGAGCTGTTGTGTACATTCTGCCAGTACTGTGCACGCCCGCTGACTTACAGCAGGCTGATCTGTATGTGGTGTAAATAACTAGCCATTATGGTTCCGGCATGTAAATAATTCCCTGCAATTTTTTTTTTTTTTTTCTTACATAAATGATGTGTCTGCTGGAGTCCCGGTCATCATTCCATACAAACATGTCAATGAGGACACGTTTGTTAAATCTGGAGTTCATTACGGCGAGTTTCTCTTCCATGCTCCAGTTTGGCTCTGGGAGATAAAAGAGAAAATACACATCATTTATCAATGTGTATCAGGACTGATTAAGTTGTATAGTTTGCAAGCTTACTGCCTAAATTGTTTAGGACAAGACTGGACATGTGAGAATATTTGTACAGGACATTCCTATAGTGGCTAGAAATTACTAGACTGCTCTTACCAGCCTTATCTGTCTCAGTCAGTAATCAGTAAATTATTTATATATATTCATCTGCCTGTGCATAATAAACATCACCGTGACCTTGCCTAGTTAGGCGGTTACACGCCAAACTGTAATTAAGATGCAAGCTTTAGAACAGACCTATATTAGTTTTATTGCTTTTGTTTTCTTTATTCATGGTGGTCCTTTAGGTTTCCTAACTGCCTTAAAACACATACTGCTCACGAATGAGACCTTTCGGTGTGGGTGTTAAGTTGATGCCATCTCGTTTACACAGATCACTGCGTGCTAAACAGGTATGACACCCTGACTTTTGTTTATGAAGAAAAAGTTAAACTGGAGGATCTAATTCAATGCCAGTAGTCTACATAGTGCAGTAAATAATTTTGATTTAACGCTACTGGTCTTCTGGGGACAGCATTACCTTTGGTTTTATTCCAGTCTGCAGAAGCCACGGGCCAATCGCCAACCATCGTTAAGGCCTCCAGCAGAGGCAATGAATCTCGTTGCTCTATAAGACCTGAGAGAGGAAAAACAAATAATTATTTTCATAGGAAAAAAGAAAATAGGTAATGGGCCTAACAGTTTAAATCTGAAAGGGAATTTGTCATAGCAGGAGATAAGAGATACCGTGAAATCGCCTGTCTCCTACATTAGCCTTCAGAAAAGTAATGAAAACATTTCTGTTGACTTCAGTACGGGTTTTGGATCATAGTCAGCACTAGGGCAAATCTGTGCAAACCTCAGGATGCCTTTTGGAAAGGATGAAACAGGAGGTGGGTTTGCATTCAGAAGGGAAGGCTTTGCATTGATACCAGAGGCAGGTAACCAACATCTGTTCTTTCTACATCCCAGAATATGTATATTAAGCCTTAATGACATACCAAGGCATCTTCACTCATCTGAAGATTAGCTTTCCATGCAGATTAGATAAATATTGACCAGGCTTCTGCTTAAAAGTACATTGGAACTTGTGTACGTTTGGTGTTGAACAAGAGAATCAGTGGAACAAGAAGAGACTCACTCTCATTCATGCATGACTTGTAAAGTATTTTAGCTTTCTGAAATGCTTCTCTGTCTCCTTGATCTGAAGTCTCCAGCACACCTGGGGAAGGAACCATTGCAGTGAGGTTTTTTGCTCTGGAAAGCTTTGATCTTTTCATAGAAATCACTGAGAATTCGGGGCTATGATAAATACTTGCTATTGCAGGCTTCAATTACTGTGAAACCAGAGTGCTCTTTAAAGGAGCTATTAATGGAAAAAGTGTCAGTCAGGAAGAAGGACATGCATACAGCTTGTCCTGCTCCTTTTGAAGTTAGTACCAAATCACCTATGGCAAATTTTTAGTGGGAACGGGATGTTCCCACAAAATGGGTGTAGTAAGAGATGTAGAGATTAAAGGACCAGAGGGGAAAAAAAAAAAAAAAATCACAATCAGCACTTCTCTGGAAGTTTATTTCTCTGTATAACGTGCAGTAAACAACATCTGAAACTAAACAAAAGTGCATAGCCAAGGACAGTCTCATTCCTACCTTTCAGGATGATCTCCAGCTCGTCTCTCAGGATGTCAAAAACGCTGTATCTGGAGCTGGTTTCTGGGATAACGTGACGGTTCAGCCAGCCCCCACAGGCGTACTGGTAGAAATCCTTGCAAGGGTCAGCTGTTGGGTCCATATTCTGAATTATTCTAGCAGCTAGGGATCAAAATTGGAGAGTTGAATTCCACAGGCTGCCCGGTCATCTCTGGGACTACCAAAGACACTCAAGAAGCTGCTGGGTAAGAAGGCACCTTGCTAATGCTGCTTACGGTGGATAAGACTCATGTACTGCCATCAGAGGATCCTGGTTTGGGCTGAAAAATGCCAGGAAGCATCTGGCAGCAGACATTTGCCCTGCGGTGGTACTGCTTTACAGAGGGAGCCTGGGGGTGGCAGAGCAGCCCCCGCAGCACCGTGCTGCCCAGGGCTCCACCTGGGCCGGGCTTAGGCGCTGTCTGCAGCCCAGCCTCTCCAGGGGCAGCCTGGAACTGCTGTGCTGCAGCCCTGCCTCTCGGGAGGTGTACAAGTAGATGCCAAAAATGAGAAGGTGAATAGCCCCGCGCGTAGAAAATATGCTCTAAGGGGATTCTTCTTATACTTCACAGATACGGAGCCAGAGAACTGCTGACCACTGGCAATCCTCCCGTATGAATTCCTTACGAATGAGGCTCCTGGTGACAAAGACCGTATACAGTGGAGACCTAAGAACAGGGGGGGTTCTGCTCCCTCTTTACATGTGGAGCTGTATTTGAGGCAGCTGTGCTTGCTGCCCCTGACAGTGTTAGCAATGTGGATCTAGCCCAAGGGGAACTCTCACTCCTTTTCAACTTCTTCACTCTTAAAGCCTGAACTATTGTTTCTTAAAATGTATTAAAACTTATTAAAACTTATTAAATGATATTGTTTATTAAAACACCACCTCTGCAATAATCACTTCTAGTAATGACCATTACCTGCTGTAACACATCCAGGTGTGGTACATACGATGCCTGAATTGGTGCCATAGTGAGTGCCTGCGGGGAGAGGGATAAGCAAGCGGACAGAATTAGTTCTTTTGGAAAGAAACTGCCACCAACATCACTTGCCAGCAGCCCAACCTCAGTGACAGCTCTCTTGAGTTTTAGAGAGAACAAGTGAATATTAGTGCCAGTAAGATATCAAATGACAACTGTGAAGAAATGTCTTCTCTGCAGATTTATGGGGAAAATTTATTGGAAGAAGTATTACAGCAGTCCTGACAGTGAGGTTTAACTCTCCTGGAAGGAGAATGAGACCAGATTTTTACCTGCTAACCGCCTCCACAGTCTCTCTGACACAAACTGAAAGTCTGAAATCCCTTTCTAGGCAATCTACTAAGATGCTCTGAGCATCTGAGCTCTTTCATGATCTTCAAAGTCACCGTGACTGAGAGATTTAAACAGAGGGCAAAGAGCCCACGGCTCGATTATTGCTTTCACACTGTCTTGAGTCACAAAGATCAAATTTAGAAAAATAACTTTTACTTCTGGAAGTGTGTGTTGGAGGTGGGGGGGAGTGGGTGACAGCCCTGTGTTGGCTCCAAATTTCAGATCTGCCCTTTAAGGTTACTACATGCTGTTCCGCACAGGGGTTGCTCCCTAATCAGTGATGTTGAGGGCTGGTAAAATCAGATGTAATGAAGGAGACTGTGGACCTGTTCAGGTCTGCTTTCTGCCTCTAGTAAAACAGGAATTTTGTTCCATTAAGACCTTGGCTCAGGCCTGTTGATCACTTCCCTCTGTAGTCTGAAAGCAATCAACTCTGCAACTCTGGGGACCTTGGTGCCTTGCTGGCTTCAGCCCCCAGAGGAGTGACGTGACAAGGAATCTGAGAGGGGGTGCAGGCAGTGAAACCTTAGCAGAAGCATTTTGCTGTGACTTCTACAATAGAATGTTGTGTGCCCCTACACGGGGAAACGGGTCGCTATGCTCATTCCGGCAGAAGCTGGGAAGTGTTCCTCTTGGCTATTGATTTTTCTACGTTTGACCACGCAGACCTGGTGAAATTCTTCCAGTGAAGAAGATCCACCAAAAGCCTACGTACTTCTAACACCTCAATAGCAAGCAGAAACCAAACCAGTCCCTAGCTCTTCCTGCTCGGTGCTCTACACCAGACGTCCTGCCCAGAGTTTGACAGCAGTGGCTACAGAGGGTCTTGATGTGAATTCACAGCCCTAAGTTCTGACGCAGATTTACCCTGAAGCCTTTGTACATGAACACATAATTTTTTTAACGCTGAGTGCTAAAGTGAATGTGTTTGTGATGCTGGTCGTGCCACTCCTGTGTGCTGCTCACTACAGAACTGGAACAGGAGCACCCCAGCCTGGGCAGTGGCCTTAGCCCTGGGCGCAAGAAAATTCATTTTGTTGTTTTAATTTCCCGTTTGTGACACTGGGCTGGCATTGTATCTACTTATGTTAAACAGGCAGCTACTTGTTTCCACACTGGAAAACAAAAACTTGGTGCCCTTACTTTGCAGCAGGACTAGCCACGTTTTTAAACTTTTGTTGATCCTTACACTCGGATACTTGCAGAAAAGAGTTACTAAAAAATTCCTTCCCATGCAAATAAGTGTTTTACATGAGAGCAAACAAGATTACAGTGATTCAGATAGAAATAAAACAGTAGGGAAGAAAAGAGGGCTTTGAAGTTCATCAGTGGAAGCAACATAAAAAGCCCCCACTGTGACTGGGAATGAACCATCCAGGGTTCAGCTGAGTGCCTTGTGCTGTGTGGGAGCAGGTCTGCGTTAGAACAACTTACTGTAGTTTAGTGTCCACCAGTCTGAACCTGGGATGAGCAAAATGCGTGTAACAATGTGAAGATTCACCTAGAGGGGTTTACCTTTTTCATTTTGTACCAAATGAAGCAAAGTCTAAGTTCTGGAGTTTACTAAACTCTCTAATAATTAAAAAAAATCCCAAACATGAAAACCTAGAAGCCAAGGGGGGGCAAAAAAAAAAAAAATCCTTTTGAGGAAAAGAACTTACCTGTTCAAAGGCATATAGAAATACTCCATAAAGGAGAAACATCAATGGGCAAGGTGAAAAAGAGGTAACAGTACTACAAGTAACCCGTGTTTCTCTCATCGTTTCTCAGGGACCAGGCAGGACCCAAATGAAGCTTTTTTTTCCCCCCCTCTTTTTAAATAAAAGCTTCTCTCTTTAATATAACCTGACAATGTCTAACTTCAGTTTCCGGAACCCAACTGCTTTCAACAAGATTCTAAGTCCCCACATTCGAAAAGCTCTTGTGATTGTGAAGATGTAATTGAGCTGTATAAGCAGGGAAGCCAAATCTGTTTTGAAGCCTTGGTTGCACACTCAGGGCTCTGAAGCTCTGCCACAAAACCAGATAATTAGAAATGGCTGGTAGGGGCTCTCAGCTTACTTCTAAAAGTGGCTCCTTTGTTTTTCTTTCAATTATCTCTTTTATGCCTCAGTACCATTCCTGACAAAGAACTAAGCCAACCTGACTCTGTAGGAGATATGACCAACACTGCCCCGTTTTACTTCACAGTGTATTTGTTGGGTCTTTGCTCACTTGACTAAGGCTCTGTCTGCTGCACCTCTTGAACTTCAAATAACTAGAAACAAACATAAAATGCACCTTCTAAAGGCTCAGCTAGACAACTCTATGCACTTCATCTCCTCAAACTACTTTGCTGAAAACAACTGCCCAAGTTTTCAGTATAAATACAGGTAGTTCTCTATATATTTATTTTTCCTCCCTGGTTAAATACTGCCAAGTTTGAGCTATAACGAGAGACTCCTGCTTTGACATCCATGGACAAAGACTGATGCAAGTTCAGATGTGGGAGCGACAACTCAGATAAACGTCCCACAAAGCCTAAAAATTGAAAGGAACGTCTCACAGGATTTAGATGGATGTGATGGGCAAGTTCTGAATTAAAAATTGTAAGTGGGACATGGGTTCATGTTTGACAATAATGTGAGGGTGAAGATAAGTGATTTGTAGCAGAGGAGAACTGGCACAGCCTGTTCGGCTCTGAATGCCCAGTTCCTGGGCAAGTAAAGTAAACACATCAGTGGAAGGGTCTGTGGAGAATCAATACTCATCTCTTTTACCAAATCTTACCTCCCACTCGTTTTCTCCCACAGCCAAGTTCATCTAGGATCGAGCTTCTTACATTTTTTTTTCCCTCTCTTAAAATTATTCACTCCATCCCCACCTCTTTCTTCTGCGTGTATCTTCTTTGGGTGTATCTTTTAAAACTATCAGAGGGATGTCAAAACACCAGAAATGGGCCAGAAAGATTTCACCACTGGAACTACTCTGTGCCATCCTTCATGGCTCTCAAAATTGAGGACCCCTGCATTTAGTCTTTTATGAATGTCCTATTCTTGCTCTGTTGATAGTCTTGGAGGCAGAAGAAAAACAGAAGACTGAAGGCTTCCCTCACTTTCAGCCTGACTGGGCACCATCAGAGAATTGATAAGGGAAGGTAAGCTTTAATGGAGCTGAATAAAAATGACCTTAGCTGTGGGACTATGCCCGATAGAAGAAAATGAGGGAAAAATAAGCATGAAAACTGGCAGAGCTGAGACATGCTTCAGACCCAGCTGGATCCACTGTAGAGAATTCTTAATTTGACTTCAGAAGCCACTGAACAGTGTTACATTACTGGACAGCAGCAGGATCTAAGAATAACTTCTGAGATCTGTAGAGCACTACAGCCCTCCTCAGCAGTTCATCTTTCGAGTGACGCTTTTTATAAAAAAAATACAAGTTGCTTTTCACAGCCTTACTGAAATTCCTTTAGACAACAAAAGCAAACCAAACCGCTCTGCACCCTCTCCGAAGCGCACAGTTTGTGTTTAGCGTTTTCCCGCTGTGCTTTCGGAGGACTGCAGATGGCTGAGGATGGCACACACTGAAACAATTAGCTCCACAGTTGTCACCAGGCGGCCAAGAGTGAGCTTTACCTTTCAGCACCTTATCTGGTTCTCGCACAGATCTCGGCGGCACAAGTGCTGACAGCACTGCAGACTGCCTTTGTTGCTATTTAGAACAGCGAATTGTTTGCACCAGATAATGTAATTACCAAATGTAGCTTCTCTTCCTCGGACAGGGCTGTCTATACTAGATGTCAGTGTCTTCAAAGGGCCTCCATAATGCAGGTGCCTGGTTTTATTCCACCATTCTGATGATTTCTTACCTATCTATAAGCACGGCTGAGACAGAATTTCCTGTGAGAATGAGTAAACTGAGTATTTGCCCGCTTTGGCAGCCCTGTCGCTCCACATTCACACTTTACATTCATGCAGCTCCATCTGAGCACAACTGAGAAGAGTCTTGCCACCCAAATGTCACTTCGTCGTGACTTCTGTGTTAGCTGCCACTTCTTTAAATTCTCCATCTCCTCTGAATAGATGCCTCATTAATGAACATTCATGAAGCCAAAGAATGACTAGGCATGAGCCTAGGAGACAAGCCAGATTTCAGCCACAACCTCTTCTTAGCGTGCCAGTGACCAGTTTAGATACTGCCCCTAGTCAGCAGGTTCTTGTGAATCTACTTTTCAAGTGCACATTAACTGCATTCACAGCACAGGACATGCAGCGTTGTAACATGGCTTTTTGAAATCTACTCCCAGAACAAGGAGCTGCTTAGCTCCAAGTGTTGTATTTTGTTTGTAGCCCACCTAGCAGGACAGAGCAGAAGGGCATAAGCATGCCCTCTAGCCTGCTAACAGCCTCTACAATAGCTGTGAATAGTGACAACCTCTGGGGATGCAGACAAAAAAAAAAAAAAAAAATTAAATCTGCAAATCTTACTTCAGAGAAACCCTACAAACTTGGAATCCAGAAAGTGAATAAAATATCAATTACACTAATAGCATGTCTTCTGAGCAGTCAGGGCCAGCAGACAGGTGAGGATGGAAGTTGTTTGTAGCTAAGTTGGCTGGAGAAGTTGCTGACTGTGACTTGATGTGTCAGCTACAATAAGTGTTGAAATGTTCTTCAGACTGTAACCTTTCCAACAAGTGATGAGATTGGGAGTTTAGTAAATATTTGTAGAACATAGCTGAGAGCGAGCTGTGAAAAGGCTGCGAAGATGTATGTGTGGGTGTGATGGAAAGATTGAGAGCATGGTGTATTTGGATTCAAAACCAAATGACTTCAGTTCTGTCTGCTTCCCTTTCTATGATCACCCAAATATTACTCTGCTATTCTTATTTTATTTTATTCTAGCTTATTTAGACAAGGTTTTACAGGTATGAAAACTCATTTGGATGTAAAAAAATCCCCCAACTGCTTATAGAACTATATAACTGCATTGCTGTGAGAGTGTCAGTGTCTTCATTTGGGTATGTAGATAAAAATCACAGCCAGTATTAACGTCTTGCAGGCATTACTGCTATCACCAGAGGCCTGTTTCATGCACTACAATGCTCTTCTGCAAGCTACATACAAGCAGAAACAAAATATACTCCCTGAACCGCATACATTAAAAAAAAAAAAAAAGACAGCAAGACAGGAGAGTTAATCCTTTTAATTTTCCATTAGCTGAACAGAATTATTTTTTTAGAAGCCTGTCCTGGGTAGTGTCATTCTGATAAAGGATGTACAAAGATGAAGTAATGAATCTGAATCTGCTCTTAGTAATCAATACAGTGTCCCACACACCTTTCAAAATTAACATCTGAGTGAAAGTGGAAGAATCCCAAGGATAACAGCCTTGGGTCTATCACAAGAGTGCTGCTCAGCTACAGTTTTTTTTCCCTGTTAGTGTGTAGGATTTGTATTGAAGTTACACAGCTTTGAGCAATATGTGCTCTTCACTTGGGATGTCTAAGAGAGACTTCAGCCTTTTTTGGCTGAGCATTGGGTGTGGGCCTAGATGGAACCCCAGAACCAAGGGGAGTGTTTGGACAAAACTCGTCAAGACAAAAACCCGTTCCTGTTCTGCAGGAGCACTCACTGGATGCACTGAAGAGCTCTTGGTTTCTCAGGTTTAGACCCAAACAGTGCATACAGGCACTCACCTAAAACCTGGCGCAGACTCAAGTTCCTGCTGCTCAATTCCTCCCTGAATTCCCTAAAGCTGGTGCCTAGTCCAGGCTACGCCTGCACCTCGGGGTCTCCTGCTGCCGTGGTTCAGCTGTGTACGCCTGGGTGTAAACAGAAGCAGAAAGCGACTCCAGGCCAGCGCTGGAAACACTCTAAGGCAGGAGAAAGCAGCAGGAGAGAACGCTGTGCAGGACGAGCAGCTCTGCAATCACCTTGCACTCCCATTTTGCTCAGGAATGTCTGAATCTCGGACACATTTCCAATGAAAGTTTAATTGCTGATACGAGCCTGCAAAATATTTAGACTTGGGAACTGCTTTCCCACAGATAAGCCTTCCATCAAAGAAATGTTATAGTTAGCACTTGCTTTACGTGCACAGACTCTTCCCATGGCTTTGGGTGAGAGACCAACCTTGGGGCAGATATTATTACCTGAATTCTGATCTGCCTGAACCCAAGAAGCACTCCTTTGTGCAGGCAAGTAACACAATTCTGCATGGCTCAATATTTGGATATAGAAACTCCCGTCCTAGGACCTAGCTCTGGGGAATTTATTTCCTCCTGTCTCTTGAGCTAATAGAATAAATATAAGCACCTTTCTGGTGAGTATTTATGACTACCAAATACTCAAGAGATTTCATTCAGCACTGGAACAAAGGCTGTTGACATTCAATGGCTGCTGGCAAAAGGAGTAAACAATGAAAAGGCTTTTCTCATTAATTATTACTCAGAATTGTGCTGTGTTTTTACTTACAAGTGCTGAAGAAAGCAGTTCACTGCAGGCAGGGGACGCAGGGACAGTGTAAGGAGAAAGCCCTGCCTTCCTTCAGTTTTGCTATTCATACTTCTTAATTTTAAATTCTCTAGTGTTTTAGCAAAGCAGGCAGGTGCTGCTACCAAGCCCATCGATTGCTTCGCAGAATTTTTCAACAGGGCTGTGCATTCCGTGTGCTGCTGAAAAAACTTAAGTCTTGAGAGTAAGCATGCTCTGCAGCTAACATATTTAGGCAAAGCACCTCAAAGTAACACGCCTCATCGTCAGGTTCCTAGCAAAACATCTGCAGGAAAGTCACCGAACCAAATCTCCTCTTCTAGAGGTAAGATCAAATTGCCTTGATGTATTATTAGAAGTCTCCCTTTCCTCAGCAGCACAGTTTGTTGTGGTTTTGGTTTTTTAAAAAAAAGCTTTCCCACTGTAGTAAGCAATGTCTCCGTTAGATCTGCTAAGCAGCTGTTGCTTTGTAACTCCTGGCAATAATAAATCTTGAGTCAGGCTTCTATAAAATAAGGAAATGTCAAGCCTTACAGTCCCACAGACACACACCTTCCCCTCTAAAACAGAGCAACATTTTTTTTTACCTTTCTCAAAACTTAATCAAATGCACAGAATTAATGAAAAGCACAGAATCTTACATGATGGCATTTAAAAATAAAATAAAATCCAACATAATTCTATCTGCATGAGCTTGGAAACAGGCAGAGGTAGCAAAGTCCCTCACAGAGGTGACTTCACTGTCTCCCTGTATTTTCTTCATTTAGCTCTAGCAAACAGACTTGTATGTTGTTTACAGAGGGAAGAGGAGGATTATTCACAGGTTCCTTACCTCTGCTGCTGGCATACAGGATCACCAGGGCGACCACGGCACAAGTCATGAGGAGCAGCAAGACAGCCAGACCGATTGCCACAAAGCTCCCAGATTTCTTCCCAGATTTTGTTGATTTTTCCACAATATCCATCTGACTTTCTGATTTCCCCATTATTGTAACTCTAAAGTGAGGAGGGGAGGGTAAGAAAGAATTAACAGCACGGCTAAATCAATACCGGGATAAATGCACTGAGAAATCAAGGAGAAAAATGAAGCAGAATGAAAGCAAAGCTAGAGAAAGGAAACTTCCAAATTATTACATGTATTTGTCCATTTGATTGTCCACGGATTTGCCAACCTCATTCTCCATGTCCTGTGCCCAGCAGGCTGCCTGCACTCGGGCTGTGCTGCCGGGGGCTGCCCCGGGCTAACGCTACCCCAGGCTCCGAGTGCTGCAGTGTCCTAACTCAGGAGCCTGCTCTGGAAGTATGGAAAAGTCTCATGATCAGGTTGGGCAACTCCTTTCTCCCAGACAGGGAAGGAGGGGAAAAACTGCCTCTCCTTCCACTCCCCTCTTCGGAAAGTATCTTGCTGTTTCAAAGAATCTTCCTCTTTTTCCCTCTGTGCGTACGAGGAGGTCTGTGGAGCTGTAGGAGCAGCAGAAGCCAAAGCGAGACCCTTCCAGGTGCGGGTTGCCTGCTCCGTCCCTAGCACAGGCGGAGGGTTTGGGAAGTCGAAGGCTCCTGGAACACAGCCCCCAGGTCCGCAGGGGTCTGTGACCTCCAGCCCTGCTCCAACCTGGCAGCGCAGCCCCGGGGGGTGCCCGCCGCTGGCAGATGCTCCTCAGCGGCGCCGGGGGGGGCTCGCACCGCGGCAGCGCTCCCAGCCCGCCGGACGCACAAGCTCTGCTCTGCTGCAGCTTCCCCGAAGTTTCCTCTGCCTGCCCTGAAATCCCCCCCCCGGGTCCTGCGGCTGCTGGGCTCGCAGAAGCAGCGGGAAGCCGGAGAGGTGCAAACCTGCCGAAGCCCTCGGGCGCGCGCTCGCGGGTGCGATACACGGGAAGAGCTTCGTGCTCGACAACACCCCGGCTTCACCCCACAGCGCGTTGCAGGCGGTGCACGGAATTCTTTTATGCTACTAGAGCTGCGAACTGGGAAAGACAGTAGGAGCAAGGACAGGACAGACACATGATCCCCTTGGGTTTTATTTTATTTTTTTCCAGAACCGGCTTTGGAATGAGGCAGCAGCACGTTGTTTGTGTTTTGGATTTTTTCTTTTTTTTTTCCCCCCTCCAGGCTCGTTTATCGAGCTGGTGTGTCCCGCTGCCAAAGTTCCCACTATATAAACACTGAGGTCGGTAGCTCCCTCTGGACCCGAGTGCTTGCCCGCACTCCGAGCTGTGTGTGTCCGGGGGGGCTGAGGGCTGGGCAGGGATTTCTCTGCAGCAGCCCTGGTGTCGGGGGCTGCACACGCAGCGTGTGAACACAGACCTGTTTCCGTCAGTGGGGAGAAAACAATGAATGCCAGTTTCTTCTGCCAGGAGTCTACGTCTCCTCTTCTAGTCAGCATTCTGCCTCAAAACTCCTATGAGAATTTGCCTTTTTTTTTTTTTTTTTCCCCCCAGTGTTATGTTATCTTAGGCTTCTGTCAAGTGTGAAGGCAGCTATTCTCATCCCACCATCTGAAGAGGAGGAGAAGAACACAAAGATCTGAGAGAGATGCATGCACTTGCAGATCCCGGGTGTCCATATGTGAAAACTAGCTCCAGAAGGGAAGGTTGCTTTTAAGGACAAAGCTATACATTTAATAACGAGTGAAGTGATTCCTTATTTCAGTCTCCAGGAAGTTCTACAGCTAACAGAAGATCGGTTTTCCTATGCATGTCAATCTTCCTTACTGCTGGAGAGTTTTACTGTTTGGTACCTCACCAGGCAGCTGGCTCTGAGGAAGGTCTGCCTAGTTACGGTCCATAATTTTGCAGTAGAGAAGCACCTCGCAGGATTTAATGTAGTTATAACACAGCTAGAAGATACTGGAGGGCATTATTTTGCCCATTTCACAGGTGGAGAAGCAAGATGCCAAGAATCTAAAATCGTTTTTCCTGCTGCTTTCCACGCACACCTATGGTAGCCATTGTGGCGAACGTTTCTGAGGCTAGGAATGCTGCGTGTGATTCCGAGTGCCCACTACTCAGGGTGCAGACCCTAGCCCCCCTTGGAATCAAGAGAGAGAGGACTGACACAGCCCTAAGTAACATCTGTAATAAAGGATTTGAACACAGCCCAAAGCAACTCGAGGTTCTACATGAGCGTCAAGAATGCAGATCTCTTATGATCCCAGAAAATTTGTAGATTCCCTCAAAAAGCATTGACCTAATCATAAAGGAAATACTTTTTTTTTTTTTTTTTTTCCTTTTGGAAGTGGGAACTATATCAAGAATCTCTTCCTCTATCTCTAATGGCTTCGCTTCCTGGTTGAGCTGAGGAAAAGGTGTACTGCTTCCAATAGGAAATACAAGGAACTTTGGGTGTAACAAAGGCACTGGCTCCTATTTTCCAAAGGTTACGTTAGGCCAATCCAAACACTAGATTGGAAAGTCAGTAGTGACAAATATTTTGTGTTTCTTTTACTCTTGCAGTTTAGCTTTGAAATAAACTGCTTAGTGTTGTAATGAAGATACTTCCATTGTCAGTTCTCAGCCAGGTATCGGTGACAAATGGTTTAGGTAGCCCTGAGCCTGTTTTGGGTTACAAAATGTCACAAAAGGGAGAAAAAGGGTTAGTAAGTTTATTGTGTTCCTTCAGGTCCTATTTTAAATTATTTTTACCCTGTTTTTCTACACTAAGTCAGAATCTGGGTGAGCAATAGCAGGGCATAACCCAAAGCAGTTGTTGCAGAGAAGAGAAGGAAGTGCCTGACTATTAATAATACCAGTTTCTGTTGGGGAAAAGTTGTTTTCGTGCTCTTAAGATTCACACTTGGATTGACTGGCAAGCACAGCATATAATTTAAGTGTTTTAGGTGTGTATGTATATGTTGTCTCTCCCAGGCAAGTATAACCAAGTCAGTTGGAAGCTGATGGGATGTGCCCGAGTGAGGCTCTGAATAGAACCAGAACAGCCTGCAGGCTCAGCACCACTTGTGGCAACTAATGAACATCAGTCAGTGTGTGCTTGCAGACAATTAAATCGTACGGTAAGCAGATACCCATGTGCTGGACCTAAAGAAGCTGAAATTGGTTTGTTGTTCTTAAGGTACCGGTGATATAAGGCCCTGACTGGTTTTGCTGGTGAAATTCATTGGGAAAATTGGATGTGGACATTCCTGAAGAGAGTCCTTTCATACCTTTTAACTCAGGAAGGATTTTTTTTTCTTCTACTTGATGCATCTGTTGGCAAATTCCTCCCCCTAGGGAGGGGCAAACAGAGCTAATGCTAAGGCAGTCAGGGGAGCTGTAATTATGTATGTGAGAGCAGAATTATGCCCTTAGTACAGACATGGTGAGGGCGGGAAGACTTGAATATTTTGTAAAGGACTTTTATGGGTGTCAAAGGGTTTTGTGACATGATACATTTCTGGTTTGTGCTGAAGCTTGTGAGGGGAGACATGAGCTGTAACACACACACCGATAGGCACAGAAATAGCAATAGTAGACAGTGTAATTTTGATTTAAGAATGGTGTATCTTCTTTTTATTAGATGTTTATGAGGGGAAATCTGGTAACAAGTATTTCAGTTGCTGTGCTGTAGGAAAGTAAAAAAAAAAAAAAGTGCTTTTCTTCTGTATGAGGAGAAGCACTAGCAACTGTAGAGAACATATTTGCAGAATGATTAATTTTGATTGTCTTGAGCAACTTTGTGTGGTCACTGAAATAGAGTCATCTGTCATTCTGACAGTTCTCCACTAGTGCAGTGAGGTCCCCGTTCTGTTCATTGCTTCTAAAGGGAAAGACTTATTTTGGTTTCCAACGCAGTCTCAGGATCACCTTGTAGCCTTTATGGTAAAGGAGATCTGATGATGTAAAGCTAAAGTGGGGATTTTTTTTTTTTTTCTAAATCTCCCATTCACCTGTTTTATTTATTTATTTATTTTGGCAGTGCATTTCAACCAGAAATTGCTGTGAGAAGTTCACTCCCTTATACACTGACATGGAAACTGAGGCACAGGAAAGTGGTGTGACTTGTTGAAGCTGCAACAGCAGCCACTGCTTGCAGAAGTTTTCCTGTGCTAGTCTTCTACCTGTTGGTCTAGTTCACAATCAGTTAGATCCTTATTTTACAACTTAGCATTTACAATAATGTGAAGGTGAACACTGACCTGGGGACTTCTTCAAGGAACTGAGAAACAGTAGGGGGGTTCAGTTATTGGAAAACACGCTCTTTCCCCAAAATGATTTAGACACAAAACATGTGAAGCAATGAGGCGTTTGCTGTTTGTATTGGGCTGCTTTGAAAGGATTTTTCCTTTTTTGCTTGCTTTGTAACTAAAGGAGGTTCTTCTGTTACTGGAATTTGGATTTGTTGGGAGCTTGCACTGACAGGGTTGCAGTTTTAAAAAAACCTCAAATCACAGATTTTTTACACTTGGCTCTTGGAGGGGTGGGGCCAGTCTGGATGAGTGCCTCCTTTTCGATTGTGTTTACTGGGAACTTTAAGACCCCAGGTATGACCATTTACTGAGGAGGTGCTTCCTTGGGCGTAAGGCATCCCAAACCACGCACAGCTCCTGCACTGCTGGTACAGAGAGAGGGAGCTGGTCTGGAGTTTTTATGCAGTGTTTTCCTTCTTGGGAAAGCTGCTCAAGGAGGAATTTATGGTCAGAGAACTCCAGCCCTGAACAGCAAATAGTCCAGCCAGTACTTCACTTGCCTGGGAGACTGTACTTGATTCAGAGCTGTCAGTATTTTTGTTTTCCCATTTTCTTGGAGAATCTGGAATAACCAGGACTGTACCTGAGACACTGTGAGGGGAGAAGGTAGTATGCAGGGATACAACGACCTTTCTCAGAAGTTTGGTTGCTATGTCTTAGTTGCTTCCAATGACCAGACTGACGTCCAACTCTTCTTTTAGAAGGAACTGATTCTAAAGATAAAAACTGTGAAAGGTTGTGAATTTTTTTTCTTCACACATGTTTGCTTTACCATCGGTGATGTGTACCTCAAAAACCCTTGGCCAGGATGATATGAGAACCTATTATCTAATTTAGCTTCCTGCCATCCTGAGGGTTTGCAGTGTCTTTCCTTAGTGCTGACTATGACCTTCTCCCAAAGACTGACTGAGGTTGCACTGTGACAATTTGTGTCGCTATGACAATTTGTGTTTAGTACTGATGTAATCCAACGTGCTGGGTCATTCTGAATCGATGTTCTAACGTTGCTGCTCTCTGTATACCCCACAAAACTCAGGGACTGCATGAACAACGGGGCAGTTATTTCCCAGGTGGTGCTCTGGGGTTCTGCTGCAGGTATTAAACAGCTACATCAAACATATAAACAACTCGGTGTCCTACAGTCACAACCAAACAGGACGTGGGGCTGACATCATCTCCAGTATGATGTGTCTGAAGTATTGCTACCATGGAAACAAGGTGTCCATCTCTTTGTGTCTCCTTATAATTGATCCGTACTAAGATGTGAGAGGAAATCACACACCTTGGGATGCCAGGGGTTTGTACTTTGCCCTGAATACTTTCCCCATGCAAAAAGTCACGTATAAATCTTGGGTTTTTTAGGCAGTCATCCAAGGCCTTTTGAATGATACGGGCGTGCAACTTCTGTCATGCCACCACTTCTGTTCAAGGTGGTTAATGCAGAGGCTTTCGAGGGGCTCCAGAGGGCTGGCCTCGGCAACACGTGCAATGTGACATTCCACAGGAGTTCACTGCAACTCCTAGTGCAGCGTGATGTGGCAGTGACGTGTAACTTTTCCACAAATTTATTGCCCTGGAATGGCCAAACCTTCTGTTCTGGGTGTTGCTGGCACACCAAAGCGTGAAGAGCTCTCTGTGTTTTGATGCAGCAGCACTACTGTCAAACGGGCAGAATGCAGGTGCAGCTTCCGAGGAAGGACCCTGCTCTTTCTCATGCAATGTCTCTGACAATTCAGCACAAATTCTGCAGACAGGGTGTTGCTTTAGTACTTGTTGATCATGTGTTTTGACTCTGGCTTTAGAAGTGAGAACTGATTAGCTGGAAAACTCCTCTTACTGTTTCATTTCCCAGTACTAGAAAGTATACACATGTACAAACACCATACATAAATAGGGATTTCTCTGACTCATGCATGTAAAAAGGACACGGCAAAATCTAGCAAGTAAAAATTCTGTAATGTGTGGTGGATGGACAGTTTTCTTCTGATAGTAATTCAACTAGAAGTGCTCTGCGGAAAAGATATTTTCCTTGTCTCTGATACTGCAGTTTGTTTTGAAAAGTCGTCCAGAGGTGAGAAACCAAAGTAGTTTACCAATGAATTTCATACTTTTTTTGTCCTACATGTTTGCTTTTTCCCTTTCTGACTTCTTTCTAAGCCCTTTCCTCTTTCAATAGAGTAAAACATAGCAATATGGGACATTGTGTTCTATTTAACTTACGAGAGTTTTAGGACTGGTGATACCTTAATTCTAGTAGGGGCACAGTAAAGAATGTGAACGAATGTGTTAGCAGGCAAAGCACATGGTTATACTACCTTGCATTGCTGCTTTGCATTTCACTTGAATTCTATTGCTTTGGATTCTGCTATGGATGGATAACAAATATTTCACACTCAGAACAGATGGGTCAGTTAAGAGTGGGGTTTTTTAAACGTGTGAAATCTTCATTTTTTTTCCTTTCAATCAGGTTTGTTCGCCACGTACAATCCAGCAACTCTATCCCCATATCCCGGCAGAAGTGCAATACCAGATCTGCAATCACTTGCATGTTAAATATTTTGCATTTCTTCTTTAGTGCAGATTACAGATCACACCTCCTCTATGTGTATGTGCAAGAACCAGGGGTATAGAGAGTAGCTTCAAAACCCTTTGAAAAGACTGCTTAAAAACTCTTTTGTTGCTTACCTCTTTGTCTTTAGTACAATAAAGAACCATGAGTCTGGAAAAATAGTTAATCTCTGTTGTGCCCCTGGTTTCGATGTTCAGGTTACACAGATACAAAGATAGATTTCGTCTGTTGTATATGAATTCATGTGAATGGAAGGCTCACCTGAACCATGATTTATAATGTATGTCTAAAACTGTCAGATTTTGTTTAGTATCCAAACGAATATGCACTATCCCAGTACTGCCAAATGTTAGTGAATGTCTTCATTAACCTCAGTCTCCTCAGTCTAAGCAGTTGTTTTCTGAAGCGTGAAAGGAGTATTTAAGAAACTGTGATAGAAATGAGTCTAGTATAGCCATTTACCTTAAATACAAGAACACAGTCTGAAGCTACAGGATGACAATAAAAAATAAACAAGCAAACAGCCTAGCCCCCAGTAAATCAGCACATGAATGACTCCAGACAATGGCTGGATGCTGCCCTTTGATTTATTGTAGCAGGGATGCCAACTACAGAGGATAACCGATTGTGCCCCAAAGTAGCGTGTTTATCTTTGAGAGCCAGTCTAACCCTGTCATCTGCCAACTAGCATTAAAAAAAAAAAACCAACCAAAAATCAATACTCAAGTATCTTATAGCTGGTTGGTACCAGATGTCTGTAGTGTAAATAACTCCTCGTAGATGCACATCTGAAACAGATCAGAATCAGGAAAACCTTGAAGTTTAGATGATGTTTCAGAACTCTTCACACAACTTCCCTTTAGAGATGATGATCTTTCGAACGTCATCATCAGAAAAAAAAAAATAAATCTGACATTAGTGGTATCAGGTATTAAAGGTGTGCAGTGATTTCTGCAGTGAATTTCTAAATGCATGCACTATGCACAGAGAAACAGGTAAAAATGTGAAGTTGTCTTACCTCTGTCTTGTGGAGTGTTTTTCAGCTGCAGAGGTCAGGTGGCTTGTGCAGTTTCTGGGATGTAACTGGACTGGTTACATTGCCTGGCAGTCAGAAACAAATGCTTGGTTTTATTTTCAGCACTCCTGAACAGGCTCTCCCCAGTAACGGTCTTACAACAAAGTGCCGTGCCTACACCTCCCTCTCTCTTTCCCTTGTACGTTCACTCTCACACACAGGTGGCTTAGAATGCCCAATGAATCAAACACTCTGCTCAGACTTACTGGGGAGGATTAACCCTTGCCACCGCTTTTGAAATTGGTTCATTTTACACCTAAACTGGAAATAGATTGTGCAGCAGGCACGGGCAATGCTGTCCTTCAGTGGACAAGACAACTTCCTCACTTGCTAGCATTTAGAAAAGCCTGTCCTATTACAGTAGTCCTTTCTTAGGGAAGTTCTCGTTTTATATGACATGCTTTACATCTTTCCAAGCATCTATGGCAGGAAGACTTCTGGCAGACAGCGTCTCATTTTCTATACACTTAATTTCAGTGCAGTGATGGATGCTGCAATTACATTTTTAATGATGCAACGTTTTAAAATTACACGTCCATGACTTAAAAGGTATATTTCTGCATTATTTTGCTGTATGGGGAGATGGATTACAAACAAAATTAAGATATTTTACTTGAAATTATTTTCAGCTACGGAGCACATACAAATTTAAGTTGTAATATCCATGAAGTGCACTGTTTATATCTTACAAATGCCAAGATAGTTCAGTTTTTCAAGGAAAGACACACAGAGCATAAATTTAGAGTATATAACCATAGTCATATGTATCCAAACACTACGTACGTATAATTTAAATGAATGTAGAAGACTAAACCATAAGATGTTTTTCAATAAATGCTCACACTGTGTTTCAGCAAGACTATCCATGCTGTGTGGTCCTGAGTTGTCAAAATGTTTATAAATACGCTTAACTTCTAGCAAACTTCCCCTTCTCACCCATACCTTACCTCTTTCTTGCATGCCCACTGACGATTAGGACCCTTGTGGAAGCCAGCAGGTTTGCATCATCCAGCCTGAAGGGCTGTTGGGGTGACATGGTGACGCAGCGGTCGGTGGCGGTGTGGGAGTGCCTGTGGCAGTGTCAGGACCTGCAGGATAAAAGAAGGTAGAGGGGGGGTCTGGTCAGTTCTTTCATGTGGTAGCTGCTGGAGAGGCCTGACACCAGGAGTGGGCCCTGGCTCTGGAGATGCAGAGAGGTCCCTGAGTTCCAGGAGGGTTTGGATTCCAGACACACCTCTGTGGTTAGCTCCCACTAGGTGGTTCCCACACGGTTCCCTCTGCGGAGCAGCCAAGTGCCAGCAGTTGGGCTGTGCCCGAATGGCACCTGGATTCCAGCGCACAGCAAAGACTCTGCAGCCAAAACTGCGGCAGTGTCACGCCTCTAGGAAGGTATCTAAATGGTTTTATTCTTTCTTTGCCCTTGCCACTGTCAGCAAAGTAAACACCAAATCTGTACCAGCAGCTGCCTGCTGTGGGATGCCAAGGATGCGTTCGTGTTCCCGGTGAGGGCTGAGGCTCTGCCTTTACTTGTGCCAGAGGGGGCTGTACGAATAAAGAAGGTACCAGACACAGAACTGGGGTGACCTTTACCAGCATCACGGATTGTGGAAGGGGTTTGATGACAATCCGTAGCTCTTTTATGATAATGTAAAAACGTACAAATAATGTCATCTTCAAAGCACTTTGTACCCAGAACTAAGAGGTACTGGCAAGCGTCTGAAATAGAGCATCATCCCCATTTTACAGATGAAACAGTCGCACAGAATCAAAGTCAAGATTAAATTAATAGACATTGATGCCCGAGGAGCTGTTATGTCTTGTCTGGCAGAACAGAGCAGAGAATTTCACAGACTACTCCATTAAATCTATAACCTCTGGGTTCAGAAAAAGCCTTCCAGAGATACCATAAAGACACTGTGCCATCTTTAGGGAAGTTGCTCGTCTGGCACTATTGGCAGTTTGCATCATATTGCAGTATGAGTTTATTTAACTTCTAGCTGCCTCATCCAGTTTTGTTTCAATAACACATTTTTTTACGAGGTCCCCATATTGCCTGAAATCTCCTTTGCATTGCTGCTACCTGGAGATAATCATCAAGTTGCAACTTTTGCCAGAATAAGCTGACAACACTGAGTTTCTTTAGTTCTTTAGTCTATACATATCCTTAGCTCATTCTGTTAGGAAACAGGATTTAGGATTTTCAAAATTAAAAAAAAAAAAAAAAAAAAAAAGCTAGATGATTTTTAGAAAGTGTCCATAGTATTTACTGGTAATTTCTTCTCTCCTGTTTTATGTCTCTGCTGCTTTTTTTTTTTTTTTTTAAATATTTTTGGCCCCTACTGTAATGCCTATAGTTTGAAAATCTTTGGAAACATGCGTGGTCCAGTGTTTGCAGAGTTAGAGCCTTCATTAATAATTAATAATCTTATGTGTATTGCTCTTTGTGTGCAATATAATAAAAATAATAGCAATTCAATCAACTTGAGGAACCTTAACTCTACAGTTGGTACTCAGGTGACTGATCACAGACTATTAAAAAGGCAGTTTTCTGGTAAAAGCACTACTTAGTTTAGCTCAGCTTAAAATAAATGTGGAATAAACCCCCCTGATCTTAGGACCCTTACCATTTCACATATTTGTTGAATAAACTTTGTAGATGTCTAAGAGTTGAATAAATTGGGGTCCCTGTGAGTTTGAAAAGTCTAGGTCATAAATGATTTCAGAAAAGGGAATCAATTTTAGCAAACGTTGCAGAATGGAGAGCACAATTATAGCAGAAGCTCTTGGGAGGAAGCTCAGTCACTAACAGACCGATGTGGAGAGACTGGCGAGGGACCAGAGGAGGGCCACGAGGAGCAAAGGGCTGCAGAACCTGCCCTCTGAGGAAAGATTTGAAGGATTTGGGGTTTTTCTCCCTGTAGAAGGGAAAGCTCAGGGGGCACCTCGTCACAGTATTCCAGTATTTAAAGGGCAGCTACAAAGAGGATGGGGGCTCTCTCTTCACAAGGAGCTACGTGGAGAATAAATGGGGCAATGGGTGCAAGTTGCACTGTGAAAGGTTTTATCTTGATATGAGAAATAATTTAATTTTTTTTTTTTTTTTTTTTTTCAGTGAGAACAATCGATCACTGGACCAGCCTCCCCAGGGATGTGGTAGTTTCCCCCACTGGAGATTTTCAAGATGTGATTGGACTGGCTGCTAGATAGTCTCACCTAGGCTCCCTTCCCTCAGATGATCTTTTGAGGGGTCCCCTCCAACCTGGAGGGTTCTGTGATTCTATGAAGAATGTTTCGTGGATAGGAATTGGCTTAAGCATGTGCTTCAAAGGTGTCTTGAATCAGGTCTTGGACACCAAATCCACCACCAGTTATAGTCAATTAGAAGTTTCCCTGTTGAGAAGCGATTTGGGTCTTTCAAAATGACACGGTCTGTTCTCAACTGTCAGTTCTGTGGCGTTTTCCTCTGCATCTCTACTTGATGTGTGATTATATTGCAGTTCATCAGTCAGGTTTATTAGGAGGCTTAATTGGATTGCATTAGCTGGCATTTAAGCCATCCAAACCAGTTGAGAATGCAATCAATTAAAACATCCAAACACATTAACGATGTAGACACAGGGCAATTTATGTAGATGGCTAATTACCTGTTTTCTCCAGTAAGTAGATTTTATTGCCCAAGAACGGACAAATGATGCATGAGAAGAAAAGAAACCGCATTGCAAAAATACTGTTGGCAAGGTTGCAAAAAGAAAGCAAAAGGGCAAGGTGTAAATGTTTCTATTGTTAAAACTCTATACGAAAAGAACAAGCCCTACACCGTTACCAGCACCCAGAGTGTTCCTAACAGTGTGAGGTTTTAATGTGACGTCTAGAGAACACATCCAGCATGTTACCAGTGCTTGATTGTCTTATAATATGACATCTGAGGTTTCTAAGCAATCAAGATGCTCCAGGAGATGGTCATTTTAAATGGGGAAAATACTGATCCCTGTCAGTTTTTCATTTCATCCACTACTGATCTGGATCTAAAACTGTGAGTTCAGATCCCCGTACATCCTGCCACGTGACACTCATGAAGTGTATTTGCTGAGTTGTGCTAGGCACATGCGGCACCGACCTGGAGATAAAAGTACAACTGAGGGGCGTAACAAAATGCAAACCAGGAATGAAATGGAATCATTAACATCCTCCTGTGTTTCCTGCTCCGCGCCCCAGTCCCGCTCTGGCTTTACAGCTAAATTTTCTCATTTACTGTGACACAGTTCAGGAATGAGACATGCAAACTTAATATCAGATACTGTTCTTAAATTCCCTTACGGTCCTTGGGGAAATCCTTATGCTAGTTTATTCTCTGTAACTCTTGACTTTTTGGAATTGCCTAGGGAACATACAAAAACGATTGGGTTGGATGGTAAGACACCTAAAGCCACAGCTGATCTGGCAGGTTAAACTCAGCCTTGCATTGCGTGTGGAACAACGACTCGGTGGTTCTCAGGAACACAGAGGACACTTGTCAAGGTCTCGAGGTTTAGGCCATGCATCATATGCCCCAAATAAACTTCAGATATGAAATGAATTGACAATTAAATAGCTGCACGTGTGTGTATGTTTTGCATCTGTATCGAGGTGTGGAACCCACGGTCAGTGGCACCAAGCTATGACAAGAGGGAAGGCCAAGACTGGGCAGTGGCAGCTGACCAGAACAGACGCTGTTTTCACTTGCACACCTACTGCCCGTCCACTGGTGAGAAGCTGAAACTAACATCACTCCGATCATGATTGTTTTCCACTCTCTGCTGATGTATCTTTGGGACCAGCTTATGTTCTCTAACTTTGCCATTTGGGATGGCAGGTTGTTCCCCCCCTGTCCTCAAACATTCTCAGCTGCTGAATGCTACAAACAGCAGCATCATCCTGTATTTGTCTTCTACCCTCCAAGCCCTTTTGTGACCAAATAAACCACTGGCCCTGAGCTTGGGGCGTCAGAGTTGGACACGTCTGTGAGGCAGGTGCATGTCTGTCTTATTCTCTGACATCCTACAGAACAAATGAATATGAAAAAGTCATTCCCGGAACCCACAGCAGGAGTAGGAGGAGAAAGAGCCTTCTCAATCCCACAGCTTTGAGTGCTGTGCCTTCTAAGTAATGAGTCATCTGTCTTAAGATGTCATTGAGTAATGGTTGACTGAACCAACAAATTCCAACATGGACCAGTTTAGCAGGAATATGACTGAAATAGCCAAGACTCCAAAGGCAGACTATAATGCCAGTGATAATTTCATGTAACACATTAAATTAATGGTGACAGAGACTCCTCAGAGCCCTGGCAAATTGGAAATTGCTTGATGCAGAATGATACAATGATACCACAGTTAATCTTCTGCAGGGAAATGATAGTAAAAGAAATGGCTTTTAGATTAGTTGTCATTAATGTGAAACATCTGCCCCTGCAAGTCAAGCGGAATGTCCTCACTTCTGCACACGGGAACTCATTATAAAGTTACTGGGTTTGCATGGCTGTAAGCCAGAGCCAAATTTCCACCATGATCTGAATCTGGGAAGCACAAAAAATTAGACTGAAAGTCAGGAAGATGACTTCCCAGGCAGTATGTCAGCTTCAAAAATGCATTTGATCAGTTGCTGAAGTTGGCTTGATGTGTTGTTTCTCTTAGTACCTGGGACCACATAAATGACTGAAATAGAAAAAAATAAATGGAAGTGATATAATTTTTAAAAGAAAAAAAAAATCCTTTTGAGATGACAAAAGTTCAAAATTTAGCTCTGTCCAAACTGTGAGGAAAAGATTCCAGTTGAATATTTCATTCCGAGCAGTTTGCCATCATTTCTGAGCTGTCCTTTGCCTGCTGGACTGCAGAGCATACGGTCAGAAAACTTTATTTGTGTAGCTCTATTTGTGATGCAGATATTCTCACATCTGATTTTTTTTTTATATTCTTGTAACGGATATTGAATACTTCACAGAGGCAAGACTGGCAGGCAGTCGTTTGTGTTGAAACATTCTCAACCAAGATTTCAAAGTTCTCTTTCATTATTCGCTACCTGGTGACAATGTGCAACGAGGTAGTCTGCAATTATTGCAGCTTGCAGAATGCTTTAAAGGAACAAAATTCATAGAGAGCAAAGAAATATTTGGTAGTAGCTGTATTCAGCTTAGAGTTGAATAAACTACAGATACTTCATCTTTCCTTGGGGTCAATGTAGCTTCGAGCTGGATTACAAATAAAGGGGTATCCAGTTCCAGTATTTACATGGGTTATCAGGCCGTATTCTCCTCTTGCTTATATTAGAGTTGATTCATATAAATGTCCTTGAATTCTTCACAGTTGTCTAGCACCTACAGCAGCACGCCATAAGAATGTGTCCTCAAACACGTTGCACAGGAGACTTTCAAGGAGCAAGTGCTGCAACAGAGTTCCTTTTCTAAGTAACTTCAGCCATCGGCTGCGTGCACAGAATGAGGTATGAGCCTCAGAGCAGTTAGAAGCAGCTCTGCAATCCTGATGAATTGCAGATTAATGTTAAAGAAACGTAAGATATGACCACTGCAGTTTTTCTATCCATATTCCTCAATCTGGAAGAAGTGGAAACAATATCCCGTTAGGAACCGGCACGTATATAGGTAGGTTGGTGATTCAGCTGAGCAGCCCCAGACCTTGATATGGGTATGGCAAGAGATAAGAATGAGATTTATAAGCCTGGAGGGAAGGGAGATGTTTGTTGATAAATACTGATAGATTTCTGGTGCGTAACTGTTGCTGGCGGGGGAGACTGGGCTGGAAGGAAAGCAGCCAAAGCTGGCTCCCTAGTGAGAACAATGCCCTCTCTGCTGATCCCTGTGATAGCTTGTTTAACGTAGCAGCAGTCTGGCTAGAGCCAGACTCAAGTGCAGTGATCCTATTAAGGCATCTTAAATGGTCTTCATGGCCTCCCTAGCACTGAATGAAAAAAATCATAATTAGCCTGAGTTATATAACCAAGGCCAGTGATGATGCCTTGAAAATGCTGGGCACTCAGGACGGACTCCTTCCCTGCCGGCTGCAGCACGCTGGGCTTTCGGAAGGTACCATCCCCTGGCAAAGCACAGCGTACCAGAGGGAGCGTGCAGGCCTAGGGGTGCCTTTGGTCAGTACGTGCATGGGCTGGGCAGTAGCTGAAATAGATGGGTCACATTTAATCCTGCCCGCTCCTCAGGACTCCAGGAAATGTGTGTCAGAATGGCTTGTGCTGGGCATGCATAATGCAGCGACACTGCTAATCAAACCCCTCTCACAGTGACTAATCAGAAAGATCTATTTGATATTGCAGGAGATTAGTTGGAAGAGCAAGCGCATAATGGGAAATAAAGGAACAAATCAGAATCTCAGGCATAGGCAAAGATAAGGACTCGGATCACTCTAGTTCAGTGCACAGAAAGAGGACAGAGAAGATAAACAAATAAAAATGCTGATGAGAACAGTTAGGGTCTCCTGAGAGAAGCAGCCATTAATCTAGACCGTGAGGAAGAGATGAGAAGTTATTGTCTTCCTGGTGCTTAAAGAACCCGCAGCTATAGGCACCTGAAACCAAAATTTTCCTCAGCATAACTTTATAGCAGTCTTGCAGGGCTGCATGTAGTCCCTATTCTTAAAGAAAAAAATTTCTTTAGGAGCAATCAGTGCACTCTGTTCAGAGCAGCAAAGAAGAATATATTACTTAACAAACCAAAACATGCCCCAAACCCCCCAAACTTCCTAAAAGGCATCCCAGGCCAATGGATGGAATATTAGTGTGGGGGAGAGGACAAGTGGATTGTTTTCCTAGTGCTCTGCGTGACTGTGAGGTGGTCTCACAGTTGAGTAGCCTGTTTTTACATAACCAAAAGACTTGGGACTTTAGGAAAATCTCAGCTCAGCTAGAAATTACATAGTAAAATTCTGAAAGTTGGTACTGCTGCTCTCAGACAGAGGCTACGAATCCAGTAGCCATGTGGCCTGTTTTCATCTCTTTTTGATTTAAACCCTGATTCTTTCTTCACACTGGTTTTGTACTGATATTATTCCTATCTGTCAGCGTGGGTAAGTGGGAGGAGAACCAGATTTGTGGTCTCTCTGTAATGAAGTTATTGCACTTGAGTGCAGCTGAGCATCTGCGTGTCTGTTCTTTGAGTGTCTACATTTCCATGTTTTGCTTTTATAACATCTTCAGCAATATTAATTGTGGCAAAGGAGACTGTGTGTTGTCTCCACTGTCTATACAATGTGAGTACTTTCTATAGACACAGACACCTCAGACTAGACATTAGGAAAGTTTCTTTACCGAGAAGGTGGTCAAACACTAGAAGAGGCTTCCTAGAGATGTTCAATGCCCCAGGCCTGTCACTGGTTAAGAAACAATTGGACAATACCCTTAATAACATGCTTTAACTTGTGATCAGCCCTGAAGTGGTCAGGCAGTTGGACTGGACAATCACTGTACATCCCTTCCAACCGGAACTATTCCGTTCTAAAAGCCACAGAAGGATCAAACTGCTCAAGAGAAACCGTTGGCTGATTGACACTGAACCAAACCTACAAGTCAAAGAGGTGATGCTAACAGAATAGCAATGTGAAGCTGTAAAGGGATTTATTATTCCAGTCAATCAAAAACCCCAAACAAAAATCAAGAAAAAAAAGTAGTTCCAAAAAACCCTGAACAACTGCTGCTCAAATATTTCAGCATGAAGCACAGAAATTCCTATCTGTTGATTACTATTTTAAGAAAAATGAGCAAAGTTATTTCTTTCAGCTTGCAAATGTATCCAACAGTCATTTAAGGATATAATTTCATGCTTGGATCGTGATGCCAATTAGGAGCAAAAAGTACTCATCAGTGTCACTAAGATTAAAATCAGACTAACTTTTCTTGAATTTGAAAGGAAAGAAGCCCAGTCTTACCTTTGCTCTTAAAGAAGAAAAAAAAAAGAGCATGCGGAGAAGAAAAAGAGATGCAAGGGTACAGATGGTATCATTGCCTATTGGGTTGATTGCATGGCTGCTGAATGAAGTTTCACTCTGGAATCTTGCCTTTCAGAAAAAAGCGTAACAAAAAAGAAAATGTTCCCTTTCCCTTTCATCCTAATCAAAGCAGGAGAGCCGTTCTCAGTATTGCTTTAATCTTTGTTTTCAATAGTAGTTTCTATTTTTCTCCATGGTTGTACTATCACACTCCAAAAACAATGGGAGAATTCACTTAGAGCAGTCAAAACAAATGTAGGAGTCTGTTGGTTTGGGCCCCACCTCATCGTCTCCTTTTGTGCACAGCACGGGCGTACTGCTTCCAAACGAAGCTGTAGACTCCATGAGGCAGCTGAAACACCAAACCCCGCAGAAATATTGGCGCTATCTCCGTGCTGCCCTAGAAGCTGGATATGTGACAGCAGGCAAACCCCTTCAGCACATGGGGGGTGTTGATGGCCGTGCTGTCCGGCGGGGATGAGGAGGAGGAAGGAGTGCTCAGTCACTGCACAGCAATCACATCACCATCTTGGCCGGCACCTCCAACCCCAACTTGTACAGGAGTGTGGAGGATGATACTTGGCAGGCTCTTGCCATGGGGATCTGGAAGTGCGGGGTGAAGCCGAGTGTCCCAGATCACAGGGGCTACAATCACTAGATTGGACGTTTCATCTCTGCTGAGTCTCATCTTTCATATTATCTATGTTCCCCGGGACAGAAAAACCATTTACTTGGCATTTGGCCTGCTCCACTCCCCTGTATTGGGGCTGACTGTTGCAAATCCGCTCGATTACGACAAGCACAGTTCATTCTGTTCAGGAGCGGCTCATCCGAGGGGTGTGACACACACGGTCCTTCACAAACACATTACAAATATTATTTTTGACTGATCTTTTTGACTGGCCCATAAAAATAAGGCTGCTTAATTGAACAGTATGTGTTAAAGCTAATCAAATAAATAGCAAGGAAATACATGGTTATTCGTAAGCTGCAAACTATTTGAATGTTCTCCTTCACTGTAATTGGAACCCATGCGTTAGAATTAGTTCAGTTTAGCCAGACAAAACATTTTCTTCACAAGGGGGAGTTTACATCCGCAATAACTTTAAAGAATACTGAATTCTGCAATCTGCCTTTTTCTCATAGATCTCTTGCTTAGTTTGTTTCACTACCTGAAACTTTCTACTTCTACTTCTACTGCTGTACTGTGTTCAGTGCCCACGTCCATTGCATATTTATCATGAGCTTCTCATCTTTTCCTTATTCTTGCAGCCTCACAAACAAACTAGAAAGCAATCAGACACTGGAAAAATCCCCAAACAGGTAAATTAATGTATGCTACAGCTGGATGCCTCCCGCTTAAGTCTTGTTTTCAGCTTTTTCAGTTCAGTATTTTTATCAATTTTAAGACCATAGTCAGTGATTTTCCAGGCCTCTTCATACTGCTGCATTTCAAAATTATATTGGGCGACCTTATGAAATGTTTTGGTTAAAATTTCACTGCCAGGGCTGTTCATGATGCTGCACAGTGCCATAGATTCATCTAACTGCAGTGCCTGGATATACTCCTTCACTGCTGCTTCTTCCTCAGCCACTGACAGAAGCAGGTGTCCTTTCGAGCAGTGGTCCTCCACACGTGTTTTAAGGCTATTACAGCCATGTTTCTGGATTACTTTCTCCATATCTCTTAAAGCTTTGTCATATTTTTTCAGGTGCATAAGGCAGGCAGCTCTGTGTCGGAGATACCTTGGATTCTCTTTACTTGTCAAGACAGCCAGCGTGTAGTAACCAAGAGCCTTCTCATAGTGATATTCTTTCATCAGTGCATTTCCTTCCTGGGCTGCTACCTGTGGACAGAAAGTCACTATTATTAGTTAATAAAAGTGAAAAAAGAGGGAAATATCTAGTCTGGATTGGCCACAGGTAGACACAGACACTAAGAAATTTTGGATACTTTTTCAAATGTTGAAATTGCATCTAGTTGGAGAACACATCATTAGCATGTCATTCTGCATGCAGATAGAAATATCTTGGATCAGTGGGCACTTGTTATCTCAAGAGTTTCTGAAGCACTCTTCTTTGTTTCTGCATGTTTTGCTAAAAGTTTCTCAGAACATTTCTTCTGAAGTTGTTTACATTCCTTAGGAATGATACGTGAACTCAGAACTGAACGGAACCAAACCCTGAAAGTACAGTGTTCTCTTCATGAAACCAAACTTCTGCCGTTTTCTGCTCTAACAGGTGACTATGGAAATTGCACCTTCTGGTCAATAGATACTCAGCCCCAAGTACTGCCCCACAAATATTTGCATGTGCTAATAATGAAGGTTGGTCTTGAAATTTACCCAAACTGTAGGGAAAAATGGCCAACTGACAGCTTTGCTAATCATTAATCTCAAGTGCAAGTAAATTATCTGTCCTTATCTGAAGGGAAAAATAACAACAGGAAAATAGAGAAGGCTGAAAAAGGCCACATAATTTTTAGGTTCATAAAGGTCAGTAAAGAAAACTCCATTAGAACTATTTGCCTCAGATGGATTTCTCATTATTTCCCTTTATTGGTTATAAATAAAGCTTTTAACATGCTGCAGCAGAGTGAATACTTAAGTCATAAACAAGGCTGCCACCGCAGCTTAAGTCTTACAGAAGGCTGAGCCAACCAAGCTGAGACTTCAAGCACAAAATAAATGTTTTCATCAGTCTCATTCCATGGGCTGTCACACATTGCCTTTGGATGCTTGTGGCTCCCCACAATTCAGTTAGCCCAGCCACTGTCTCAGTAGCCACACTTGACAGCCAGCTCAGGTTTTCCAGTCTCTTTGAGTGCCTTGTCTTTTGATTCACTTAGGTTAGAATTGATTGCTCTTTAACAGAACTAAGGAAAACAGGTTCTGGATGAAATGGATCAATACTGCAGGTCAAGTCCAAGCACCTCACCCGAGAACAGTGGCATGAAATAATTTGGCCATTCCTAACAGCTTACAAAGAATTCTACCCGTTACTTTGCTATAAAGGGATGTAAAATCCTTTCTGTAATCATATTTATTAGAGTCTTTCAGATTCCACAGATAAAAATAGAGATAGGCCCTCTCCCCAAATAGTGTCAATCACTGGCTTTAATAGTTCTGGCTATAAATTCTAAGACAGCCTGTCCAAAAGACATCCGTCTGCTTGTGTATACATTTAAAGAGCAGCAAATTTAGTTTGTCCTTTCAAGTGTGTTCAAGGCAACCAATCAATGCAAGTGTTTTCTTAGTCTCAGGATCTTAACAGGGATCAAGGTGGAATTGCATGTGAGGAGCATCCTGACAAGAGACAATTTTTTTCCTAGAAATTTTAAAGTTCTAGACATTGTTCCAGAGAGCACAGTGTGGTTCCTCAAAGCACCTTGCATTTGTATAGTTAAATTGTAATTTTCAGCCTTTAAAGTGCATTCGTTTTCTCAGTGGCAGAAGAAAAATGTAATTTTTGTTGTTCTGCTGAATGACTAATCTACTGCAGAACCCGCTAGCGTGCTAACCAGGACCATGTTGGTTTACTGCACCACATACACTATTGCCACTAGTAACCAATCCACTGCTTTGGCTTCTTCACATTTCACTGACGGTCTCCAAAGTAAAGCCACAAAATTCTGGATTTCCTGCTGCACTTGGAGGAAGAAGGAGCATCTGAGAAGAAATTATTCTCGCTCATCTTCACCAGTGGATTAAACATGGGCATTAGGCAGCTGGATTCTTTTTTGGCTCTGCTTGGCTTAAAGGAACGGAGCTGGGACCCATTTTTGGTGCGTAACACGGAGTAATTAGCAGCTTACTTGCACATCATCTTCTGAACAAAGATAAATATGAAAAGATGCTTATGGAAAGAAGATATAGGAAGTGCTTAGCAAGCCAGAAGGATATTGCACAACTGAGTTCAGCTGCTCTCAGCTTCATGTCCCTTTTGAGAAGCACTTTTTTGCCACCAGCCCCGTTGCAGGTGACTTTGGAAGGCCAGGAGCAGGCTCTGTAGCCCATTCACAGATGAATTGTAGGCCATCTTCAAACTTGTCACTAAAGATTTGATTATGGCTTCCAGACTGAAGTAGTTTTGGTGCCATCTGGAAAGGGCTTGGCAGGCCACGAGTGACTGCCTCCTGGATTAGGTCTCTGTGTCCCTTTCTACCACCTAGTTACCTCACTGTGTGATAAAAGACTGAAAATACACATATTTTTGTTGCATTTTAGTTCCAGTCCCTAGTGCCTAATCTTATGTTGACATTGACCAAGGTTCAAATCCCTAGACAGAAAATGAGAGAGGAGTTTAACGGGCAGGGAGTTATGGCCAAGGGTTAGTCTCTGAGCAGTAAATACCAGAAGATGGACTGATAAGCACTGAGCTTTGGAAGAGGGTTGGATGTTTTCAGAACAGTTTGGAGCAAGTCTTTCCTTCTTTACCTGCAGACCCTATTTGGGGTCCATGAGGGCATGTGGAATTGCAACTTCTCCTTGGGCTGAGGGTCTAATTCTGACACAGACCATAAAGCTTTTGAGACGTTTTTGTAGGAGGCAGCTCTGGACATCCTATGGCATGTCAACAGCCAACAGAAAGTGCAGCTCCGAGGATCTGGGCGAGGAGCTAGCAATCAGTCATGCATTTAACCTTTGACGTAGGAAACCGAAGGGTTGAAGCTGCACTAGCGGCCAGCAAACTCCCTTCCTCTGACCTTTTGCAGTTTAATAAGTCTTTCAGATTCCTATTCCCATGTGGCTCTCCCAGTTGTTTACAGATTTCTTAGCATGGGACCCCTTAGACTATAAATAATGGAAGAATTTTATTGCTTTGTTTTTCATGAAAAAAAAAAAATCAGTACATCAAGGAGCTCTCCTTCCTCCACCCTTTCCTATTCAGCTTATGTAGAATTATTTAGCTTTTCAGACCAGACTCCAGGGTAACGACGACACATGTCTATAATGCCTCTAGGCTCCAAACACTCTAAACCAGTGCGGCAGTGACAGTTTTGTGCGTGGAGTGCTGAGACTAAGGGCTGAGCGTAAACCACTAAACTCTTCTTTGCTTCAGTCTCCTTATTTGTGAAAGGGACGTAACAGGAAGGACACTCTCCCCTGGAGTGTAGGCAGGAGCCATGGCAAAGTAAGGCCATAACTGGTTTTTTTTTTGGCACTAATACTGTCTGTGAGCTTTTTCCCTTTTACCGAGATCCTTCTTTCACACACAAAGTGGAATAATCTTGCAGGCAAAAGGAAGTGCTACGAAAAAATCCTTTGAGACACCAGGCAGGTGAATTAACTAATTCCCTCCCCACACCAGCAAAGTACATATTTATCCCCTTATCACAAAATACATATAACACCCCCCCCACCCCCACCCCCCCCC